CGGAAAGATATCAAGACAGGCGTTCATTAATCTGAAATGAGTGTGGAGATCTACTGTACTGTACTGCACTCAGGATAAAGTGTGAATAAGATCGAGATTTTCAACACTAATTCAGGCAAGTCAGTGCTTCTGTATGGTTGAGAGACTTTTCGCGTTAGGAAAAGCATTTCCAACAAACTACAGACATTCATCAACAACTGCGTACACTGGCTAGTTACCGAAGCTCAGATAGCCAGAAAGAATAATCAACAAAGAACTCTGTCTGGTAACGAACCAACCAAGAACCTATCTCTCAATAAATGTGCACTGGAAGGAGGTGGAGATGGATTGGGCATGAGTGATAAGACGGTTTTGGGACATCAGGCGCGAGGCCAGGCCAGGCTGTTGTTTGGAAGTCAAATGGTACACGGCGAGTTGTGCGTCGGAGGCAAGGGTGATATGGAGGAGATCATGTGAGGAAGAAATGAAAGGTTGTTGGCATTCGTGGTAGCAGGTGCAAAAGATTGCAGAGAAGAGAGTGGAATGGCGACGTGCTACTGAGTTCCTATGTTCCACTAGGAACCCAAGGGCAAATAATGATAATAATAGTTTGCCTATGACTAATTTTCAGCTAGTTCTTTTTGTATAAATAATTGCGTAATACAATTCCGTGACGTATACATGTACCACCAGTTCAACTTTCCGCTTAATTTTGATCTTAGCTGTGTAATATTTCTGGTTGACTGGAATCGATCACTGTAGTCTCTCAGTATTACCAGTTTTTCTTGTGGATGGTCGAATCACCATGTAAGCGATGTCTAGGTCAAGTGAAAGGTTCTAGGCAGGACAGGAAAGTTGGTCAATGAAGTTGTGAACCATCATTGACTGAAGTGACTTGAACATATACTGCGTATGCTGAGCCACTGCTTACCTCGATGTTCAATGCTTTAAGAAGTCGATTAGGTTGAAAGAAGGTTAAAGGTGACCAGACGAAGATGTGACACTTATCGTTGAATGTTTCGACTAACTTTCATTTTGAACTTTTTTCTCCTCTCTTACATCTTTGTCTACTTTCATATCACCCTTTCTCTTCCCGCTTGTTTTTTTATGCTACTCTGAAGTGTGGCAACTTGAAGTGATGCACTTGTGTGCGAGGTTTCAGAGTTAATTTTATCTGTCGGAATCGATTACAGTATCTCACTGATTACGTTACCTTCCATACCACAACAATTTAATCCCCTTGAATGAAGCAGTTGTGACAGCATTCATTGGAATTTATCATCAGTTACATAGACAATATACTGGATCTTGAGTTGTCAGCTCATGATAAGAAAAATCACTAAAAAAATAACTATAAAATGTCATGATTTTCATTAGAGTCTCAATAATTAAACTTCAGAAAAAGACTGATTGAGCGAAGAAATATATTTCTTTTCAATTAGGTCTTCATCTTGGGCTCTTCGCTCAATCAGTCTTTTTCTAAATGTCTAAATGGGTATATTCAATGAATTAAACTCCAGTCAAATGATGATCACATTAGTGTGTTAGAAACACGAATGATGAATGCCGTCGAATGATTAGGCGTGATTCTGTGAAGTTTCATACTTAAATGAAACAGTCAGTAAGTGAGATAAATGTTACTCAATATCAATAGGCAAAGTAGCCAAAACTGGCTAGGAAATGTGAAGATGTATTACGATAGACTGAGAATAAATCTTCTGTTACATTCTTAAAGAAGAACTACCAGGTTGAAAAGTGTTGCTGAATAATCAGGTCAATAGCAGACTGACAACTCTGTCTCTTTCATTACACATACTCATGTTGAATGAAAGCTTTTACACCGAGGAGTAAAGCTTTAAACCCCTCTGATGGATGTTAAAGTTAGGTTATATGTGCACAAATCTGCTGAATGTGGCTGAGTACGTTTCATTTCGTTCATTTTTTTTCGATCAAGCTTGCATTGTTGACTAGTTCGCTAAATGATTTTACATCATACTGGACTGTGAATCATAGTGGATCCATTCAATACACCTATGAACATCAAATTGATGTTGGTTCTTTCATGAGGCTGAAAATCTGTAACCACCTCAATATCATCTCTTTATCATTAAGTCAATTTATTATTTTAACAGTGAACCACGAATTAAAACCCCGTTCTACATCTTAAGGCTTGACTAGTCACTACTACTTATTTTACACAAATTTACATGGTTACTAAGTTGGATCCATTTTTTCAATCAGTTTTCTGGCGTTCCTTCTCAGAAAGCGTCTACTTTGTCTGATGTAAACAACTCGAGAAGTATATTTCTACCTTCCATCATTTTTTATTTTGTTTGCTTTTACTTCGACTCTTAAGGTAAACTATTTTCAATAATTATTCATTATCATTTATTATTTGTCCTTTGTGTTCCTAGTGGAACATGTGGCTTCAGTAGCATATCGCCATTCCACTCTGTGCTCTGCAATCTTTTGAACCTGGCTCTACCACTGCCCAGAAGCTTTCTTTTCTTCTTCACACGATCTCCTCCATATCACCGTCGCCTCGGACACCGAACCCGTCTTTTCGTCTTTGGGTTCCACTCGAGGGCCTGGCCTGGCGAGAGATGTCGCCGAATGGCTTTCCCAGTGTATGCCCAATCCATCACTTTCTTCTGCATATTTGTTGGGCGATGGGTTCTTGGTTGGTTCATTGCCCAGTCAGAGTTCCTTGTTGCTTATTCTTATTATTGTAGCCATTTAATCTTCAGTGTCAGTATCGAGTTAGCGTAGGCGGCAGCTGTTGATGATCTCCATAATTTGTTGGAAAAGTTCTTCTTAACGCACAAAATCTCTCAGCCATCACAAAGACGCACTGATCTGATTGACATTAGTGTTGAAAACGCTTATCTCTTTGACGCTTTATGCTGAGTGCAGTGTAGTGCAGTAGATCTGCACACTGATTTCAGATTAAAGCAGGAAGGCCTGTCTTGCTGCCTTTCCGATACTGGCTTTGACGTCCTCATCTGTGCCGCCGCCTAGGTAGGTAGATTCCTCCTGTTGATGGTGATTGGTGCTTGTTGTTGTTGGTTAGGTATCTTCTTTACCTCTGTCTTGTCTACGTTCACCTGAAGGAAATCCAGTCCTGGCTGCACCGCCTCTTCTTCCAAATTGTTAGTTTCCGCCTGTAGATCTTTGAGTTTGTGCGACAAGACATTAGAGATAAATCATCATCGGTGAAGTCTAAATATTCTAGAGTCTTTTCATCGGTCCAGCCAAGGTATGCCCATCTTCTCGCTCCTCACGGTTGTCTGTTGCATGATCCAGTCCAGTCGAGTCGACCACAATCAGGAAGATCATGGACGATAGTAGGTGGTAGCCTTGTCTTACTCTTTCCTGTCTTCACTTCAAAGACATCACTGAGCTGAGCTTTGCATTGCAAATCACTTGGCATTTAACATCATGTAGCATATAGCTGTTGAATGAGATTGATAAAGGTTGATAACTATTCAGCTGACAAATAAGTATCATCAACTTTGTCATTATTTGTGGGCACCCATTTTTTCGGATGATATTATTACAGCGGCCTGTCACATTTGGCATAATTACCATCATTATTAGTATCATTATTATTATTGATAGTATTGGTATTAAGTAGCTTGTTGTGCCACTGATAATAATGGCTTTTTCACTTCTCTGTACATTCCTTAATTGAGTAATCGCAATATTTAATTGGTTCAAATAGCGTAATATAATTAAATGGCTTATTCATTGAATAATTGTTTATTGTAAACAGTCGACCAATCAGTCAATGCATGATTTCGTTCGCTTATTAATCCATCTAGGTCTTATTTCTTTTTCAATCTACAATTGATTTCATGTTGTCAGGGAAGTTTTTTATTGGAAGCTGATTTGATTTGTTAGACAAATAGACAAAGGCAAGCGAATCGATGTAGAACCTGGTGCAGAGGTGTATCACTACAAGTTGCTAGACTTCGTATCAGCAGCAGTATCAGCAGGCAAAGAACATGTGGATTGGATAGAAAAGGAGTATATAAGAGAAGAAAGAAACAATAAATGAACGTTATTGAAGGTATTCAAGACTTTGTAGGTAACAACTACTGTGTACATCTGTACCAATATGGTAGACATCGAGCCATGTGAACAAGAGTCTTTAACCATTAATTTTTATTGTCTCCAGAATGTAAACCATGTATTCCTACGCCTTCTCTACACCGCTTATAAAGATAGACAACAATTTCGTAAATTGTTGCCATGAGTTCATTTAGCTACCCCTCACCCTCTTTCCAAAACCATCCCATTTTAGTTGGCAACTTGTGTCGTTGTAAGCGAGAAACGAGAACTAAACAATTACTTAGTACTCCAAGGTTTGTTATAGTTTTCTAGCTGATGTATTGGTCAGTGAGGGAAACCCTTTAAAATCAATCAGTTCCCCCACACGCTTACTACTACAAATTGTCAGTTGTTCAGTACTGAAATTGTCACCTATTGGATCACAGGTTCGAATCGCTTTCTACTGATCATGGTTGAGCCTATCAGATAGTATCGCAGACTAGGTATGATACATCTTCTAATACCTCAACACAGTGATATTGAATTATTGTATACTGCTCATGGTTGATATTCTTCGAGATGAGATATACCAAATCTTTAGTGACAAGCCTGTAATCTTTAGAATCAACCATGTCGACTAGGTTGAAGACAAATAGTCATCGATGGCATTGGATGTCTGATGGTCACGGTGTATCGGAAAATGTGAACTATTAGTTTTTAACCTAGTAACTGAGTGGTAGTATGCGCGCTGTATAACCTGATAGTCGACAGTTCTATTTCTGGCGGTGTTGTGGGTTCGCACTGTTAAAGAGTTGCATACTAGGCTGAAACGTCTGTCCTCCAGTGCTTTCTGGTTTTGAATGATCCTTCAACTAATACCTTTGGTATTAAGACATGCGTTGTACAATGAATATGATCAGTTTTCTTTTTTAAGCGGAATTTTTTTCTTTTTTTGTTTATATCTTGTTCAGGTATCTCATTAAGCCTATCCTCATATCATCATAGTGGTCTGCAGCAACATCACGATCAAGGAAGTAGTAATCACATTAATAATTATGATAATGGTAATAATAATATAATTACTCGTCGGATTACTGACCCATTTGTACACACCTGTTCCCAATATTCTCATCATCAACCAACTACTATAAACCATCTGGCAGGTATGAACTTTATGCGTCATTCTCTGCATCAGTTGAATATTCCTTCAATACAGAGTTGTAATGTTACATTCACGACATGTAACTCACTACTAATTCAGGTTGTTGTCCTCGAATAAATATGACGTCATCATCGTCATCATGTGCTTCTTCAATGATCATTTCATCTGGATTGTCTTCTGTAAGATCGTCGAATTTCACGCATTCAGTTACTTCTGCTATTGCTGCTGCTGTTACAACTACTACTAGTACTACTGTTTCTCCTAATAATGCTAACAATGATCATTATTCTAGTGCAAATAACTTTTTTAATTTTACTTCAGATCGATTACACTATAAGCCATTACCATTACGACAACAACAACAACAACAACAACAAGATCTACATTCTCATCTACATCAACCTCCTACAATGTATCAAATGATATCATCTAATCGTGGAGTTGAATCAAGTTCAGAACGTGTTGAAAATACTCATTTGTTTAATGGATCAGAGTTGATGTTGAATAATAAATTCCATAGTGTTGGTAATCCTTCTCCGCCTAGTCATCATCATTACAATCATCCGTGTCAGAGTAATAACAATACTAATCATAATTATAAAAATTTATTTACAATTAATAATCAATCTGATTCATTAGTAAAACACACTTATAGGAATCAATGTTGTTTATCATGTTTAGAACCGGAGAGGAAACGGCATATTTCAGCACCAGTTGCCAATATATCATCACAATCTCCTTTCTTATTATCATTGTCAGCTTTATCAGTATCCACATCTTTATCATCCTCATCATCATTATCTTATTCTCCGTCATCATTATTTTCATCATCAACATTTCCAGGAAATTTATCCACCTTACAACGTCCAGTTGCAACGGGTCCGAAAAGTGAATTTCTGAACAAACCATGTTTCTGTTTGCAAGAATGTCATCATCATTATCATCAGCATAGAAACAATAATAATAATAATCACCATTACCATGATCATCATCAACAACAGCATAGTCACTGTTGTGCTGGATTATCGTCAAATGAATTGACATCAGGAGTATCTGTCGAACAGCCATCAAGTGATACCGTCGCGGAATTGTTAATGCAAAGGCGAGTCATGCATAGTTTTAACCTATACCTTGCAGACTGTTGTGATGATTTTCACCAGAGCACTGAACAAAGTATTGTATTATGCTGTTGTTGTTCTTTTGAAAGAGAATGAAAAATAGAAAGCAACTTTAGTCTATTTGATAGCTAGCAGTGGAGTCCAGGACACCCGTTTCATCTTGTTTGGGACTCGTCAGTTGGATGTACCTAAGGCGCAGTGAGCGATAAATTACAGGTATCAATAAACAACAATTGATACCCGTTTCACAAGTTGTGGGTGTTATGCTCCAGTGACCTAATGGATAACGCTTTGGCATTCGAACACATAGGTGTTACTATTCTAGTCTTCGTAATGGAAACAATATCAATCACTGGGGTGCGGATACATCTAGCTGACGAGTGAGTCCCAAATAGACAAAAACGCATATCTTGGGTTCCACTGCTAGCTATCGAATAGACTACAATATAATGGATATCTAAGTAGTATCGAGCCATCCGCATAGGAGCTCATATGCCTATAGAGTTCGAACGATTCGATCCAGTAAAACAACGGAGAATTACGAGCCTATCAATAGATAGTAATGATGATGATGATAGTCCTCCGTTCATAAAATATTTTAGTGAATTAACATGAGGTACAATTAACTGGAAATGCAGAAAAAGTATTTATGCTGTTTATTACGTTGTTTGTTTGCTAGTTTTTCCAATTGTATAAAAGTGACCTTTATGTGTGTATGGAACAAGTTCACACTTGTTCACTTTTTTTTGTCATCTTTTATTCATACACATTTCAACACATATGCACGCTCATATAGACACTTAACTTATATGTTTTTGCTACTCCGCTATCCTGCCCCCGACTTCATGTTATATACAAACCTATGTCATACTAATTCTATTTTCATTTGACTATCGGAGATAGCCGTGGTTTAGCAGACTAGTATTTATACTAGGTGATGATTGAAGATGAAATGAAAATTTAGACCGCGACTGGATTCGAACCACTGACCAACAGGTGATCAGCCCGGTACTCTATCAACACTTTGGTCGCTGGGTCGAATCCGGTCGCGGTTCAAATTTTCATTTCACCTTCAATCATTCATTACCCAGTATAAATTTGACTTTCATTACTAGGTATTTCCTATAGTATAGTGATTTTTCATTTGCTTGGAAATTTTTCTTAATAATTATAGATTTACACTAAGCATATTTGATTGAAATAGTGTAAAATGTATTGATAGAGTAAACAGTGTAGTTGGCCAACCACTATTGTTTATTTATGGACAATTTGAAAGTTTACAGCACAAGAGCATCCTTATTTGCTTCTGATCACTTGGTGGATAGTTTTTAATGAATAATATAGTACATTCTGGGTGTATTTCTTGTGTAGATTGCATTTGTGTATGCACCAACATGTTTGTCTAGTGACTGATGCATATGTTGTATAAAGTTTTTGAAGTTTCTTCGTTTGAGTGACTGACGTATGCGTGTTTGTCTGTGTTGTGTAAATCCAGAAAGATCAAATAATTCATCATGCAAGAGGGTATGAAGAGCAAGTATATATATATATATATATATATATATATATATATATATATATATATATATATATATGTATAGACTGGCACACTGTTTATATATTATGTAGCATTGTAAACAGATTTTAAAAGTTTTCTCAGTCAACTACAAGCTAGATGGTTCATTTCCTCTGTCTTTTTAATTGATCTGGTTAAACATATCTATAGATCGGTGTATATTTTAATAGATCATGTCACTTCTGTATCATAGATCTTGGGCTAACAGGTAGTTTCCAATGGAACCTTGTTGATAGCATAGTGTAGTGGGCTCTGTTGATCAGAATGGAAAAAAGTAGTATATGTTGAGAGGGCGGCAGAAATCATACGAATTACCAGCAATGGTAAATGTTATGCCCAGAGAAATGTAAGCAACAATGTGAGCATATTAAGAGCAAATAGAAATAGAAGAAGAAGAAATGAAGCACATTGTGCAAATGGACTGTTTTATTGTAAGTGTACAATATTTGATGACTACTGTACAAGATGTCAATAATAACCATTCCTTCCTTCATCTCCATCTTGTCGTTTCCTACAATAGTTCGGCAGTTGAAAACGTGGTCCGCTGTCAGAAATATCAACATGAACCGGGGATTTGTAAATCATTACAAATTGATCACCCATCATTTTAATATACCGGTTCCTGCAAGTCAGATTCTGTTGGTCTGTACCAATTAGACTCTTTTAGCTGAAATTCTCCGGGTACACTATAGATAAGCTAGCCCAAAAACAACGTACACAGCTTTGTGGTACAGTTCAATCGATACCATAGATCTAGGCTTTATGATCATTATTTTTGAACTGTATATCAGTCAGTAATTTCTGTGTATTACTGACTGTTTCTCATAGATGGTAAAAGTTCTCTTGATATTGTGCCATATATTCTTGACATGATTATCCTAGGCAAACAGTTTTCGAGCAACTGCCTTACAAATAACACAAAGAATTACTGTATTACAAAACTGATTGTTAAGTTATAAGTTTATAAATCATTACAGATTTTTAAGGCTAATCAATTTTTTCTACCTAACATGTAAATCTCCCGAGGTTCGTCACCATCGGACCCAGTACTTAATGCTTCTTAAGATTTATCAACAGACTGAGTTAGTGATTTTTTCGGTTATATTTCTGGATAGCAGGTAATACAATAATATGGATGTATGATGTGTGTAGGCCACTTGGCTGTTGGAATCGTTGAAAATTAATTACATCAGAAAGCATATTACTATTCATGGTTTGACATTTTCAAGCTTTCTGTTTCTTCTTTTCATATATCTTTGTAGTTCTATTTTCAGGTTACAGGTTTTTGATCATAATTGTCTTGAAAGTATTCCTCATATATAATGAATCATCGTCCGAAGAATGTTCATTTTAGGTGTAGTTTATTAGAAAAGGTCTATGAGTCAGTCGATGAGGCTGTGAATCTTCAGTGACTGAGATGGCTTAGACGTGTGTTGCGCATATCAAAGCATTAGTTTCCTCGATGTGGAATATTAACTGAAGTAAGATTGGGTTTTAGAATAAGGCTGAGAGCGGTCATATAAAGACCTGACATCCGATGCATTAAGAAGTACTTTTTATCTGAGCCATATGGAGAGGTGTAGGCCATTTCATCTGGCGTCTTCGAAAGGGTAGGAATCCTTGGTCAGAGGCTCCTGGTAACAGACGTTCTGTGGAGAACCTCATGCTGAGTACAGCACTGCTGATGTGTATTTCAAATGAACGAAGCGAACGTCCAACTTTTAGATCCATTTGATATGTATGATTAAAGCTGCAGATCAGCGTTGTTGATTTTTACCTAGTCATGTTGAACAATAGCACATTTCGTTTATTTACTTTTCACATCATTTTTATGGAGTTGACTGTGCCCAACCGATAGCTGCTACCTTGACATGGCGGTCGGGCTTGCATATCACAATGACCCAACGAACTATGCTGGTGGAATACTCGTTCCCTCGAGGTCCTACCACAAAGTCTGTTGGATAGTGGTTGCCTCGTCACACAATGGTGGCCGAAGTAGGTTCAGGCTGGAAAAAGGCTGGATGTGGCCAGACTAAACCATAGGATGAATGTATGAAGTGTTTGACTGTTGGTTTGAGCCATGTGTGTCGATGCAGACGGTTGGGTCCGTGGGATAAATGATACCATTGGTTGGAGACTGATTGTAGGTGATCACATGGCTGAGAACCGATGTGAGTGGCACAGATGTATACACATACACATTGTCCTCATCTTAACGATGCTATACCTAATCTCACTATTTTCTCATTCTTCCTTTCTCTCTTTTAGTAGTGTATATTTGTTTTGACAGAATTTTGTTTTCTTCATCTTGCACCTTACTACCTTTTTACTTGATGTAGTGATATGAGATGTGGCAAGTCGAACCGTTGTGTAGTAATGCTTGGTCATATTTTAATGGTGATGCGTTGTACTAAACTTATGTATTATGTTTTTGATGTAGATATGATTTTTTAGTCAAGGCCTTATTAGTTCAAGGATGTTGCCTCATAAGCGTTTTCGACTAATCTCATTGACTTTCATGTAATGATTTAAAGGCTTATGATATTACATGATTTCCATATGTAAGATTGATGGAACAGGATTGAAACGTAGGACTGAAAGATGGAAATCTGCGTCGTAGCAAGATTGGAATTAGCTGCCTTCAGACTTCTCATATGGTCTGTTATCAACTAAGCTATGCACTTGGTTACTGACTGGGTCTAAACTTCACTTCAATCAATGAGGATTTTTTACTCCTTCCACGTGATTTTGTATAATGACATATGTTCTTCCATAGCAATTACAGTGACTTCCCAACTGAGACTTCTTATCCGAATTCAAGTTGAAGTGAATTAGAGTGGGACAGCATCATATCGTAGGTGTATCGTGGGAATAAGTGGGAATGTATCGTTGTTATCACTTATTAGTCCTTGAGATCAAGATGGTGACTTTACCTTGAACTCACAGACTAATAACTCATAACATTGACACTCATTCCCGTTTACTACTTAAAAATCTGAAGAAGCAACTTCCATGAGGTTAGGAAAGGTCACAAATTTGTTTTTCTACCTCATTAAGGCATTTAGAAATATACTCCCTATATTATCCATCTACCCAATGCTCAACTTATTCATCTCTATCAGGTTTAATTTTATCCTGAAGTCTATAGGAACTAGATCATTTAGTTAAACATTTTCATATCGAAATTTCGCATCAATTTGGTTTGGTAACTAGGAATAAAATAGATAATCGCATAAAAAGTTGTCAGTCCAGGTTAAGACAGCAAGTGAGTCTATGGAGATTAAAGGGCTATGACATTCATGAATATTGGGTGAAAACAGAAAACTTGTCGATACGCGAAAACTATTATTACGAATCGAAGACAGATCACGTATACGCTCATGCATGCAGGTACAAAACATCCTGAATTATATGTATTACATTGTAGTAGTTTATAACTTAACTATATGAGATAGAAGGTATGGAGGGTTATGAAAACAAAAAGATTTTACCAGCTTTTCCTGACCGCACAGTTTTGGAAACAGCTTCATATGTTTGTTGAAGAAGAATTCATATCCGTTGTGTTGGATGCCTTGTGAACCATCAAGAAGGTAGATTTGATGTCAACACGATATTCAGCAACGATTAGCTGCAACTGAATAGACTAAGTAGAAGCTTTCGACGCTCCATTTTGGACTAATCACACCTTAAAGTGTTTTTTAGCATTTTACGACCATCTTCTTTATTTATTAGCTTTAACTTCATGCAGGTATATTCGTAATAATTATTACCTTTTATGAATTTCGACAGTGTGGAAGACGAAGTTTATATGAACAATTGAAATATATGCGCAACACATTTCGAATAATCTGATCATCAAAAATTGTATGAAGACGCTACATGCCGATTAATTCACAATGGGAAGCTAAGTGATGCCTTTGAAGTGAACACAGCTGACAGGAGTAAGACAAGCTGTCTACTATCACCCATGATATTCCTAATTGTGGTCGACTGGATCATGCAGCAAACAGTGAGGAGCGAGGACCGGGAAAAGATTTTAGAAGATTTGGATTTCCCAGATGACTTATGTCTAATGTCGAACAAACTCGAAGATGTACAGCTAAAAACTAACAAGTTGACAGAAGAGACGAGGCAGCGAGGGAAGGCGGGACTTTCTTCGGATGAACGTAGAGTAGACAGAGGTGATGAAGATATCCAACCAACACCACCACCAACAACAACAGCAACAAGCTCCAATCACCATGAACGGGAGAAACGTAAAGGAGGTAGCCTCTCTCACCTACACATACCTAGACAGCACCGTTTCAACTACAGGCGACGGTGGCACAGACGAGGATGTTGAAGTGAGGATCGGAAAGATATCAAGACAGGCGTTCATTAATCTGAAATGAGTGTGGAGATCTACTGTAGTGTACTGCATCAGGATAAAGTGTGAATAAGATCGAGATTTTCAACACTAATTCAGGCAAGTGAGTGCTTCTGTATGGTTGAGAGACTTGTCGCGTTAGGAAAAGCATTTCCAACAAACTACAGACATTCATCAACAACTGCGTACACTGGCTAGTTACTGAAGCTCAGATAGCCAGAAAGAATAATGAACAAAGAACTCTGTCTGGTAACGAACCAACCAAGAACCTATCTCTCAATAAATGTGCACTGGAAGGAGGTGGAGATGGATTGGGCATGAAGTGATAAGACGGTTTTGGGACATCAGGCGCGAGGCCAGGCCAGGCTGTTGTTTGGAAGTCAAATGGTAACGGCGATTTGTGCGTCGGAGGCAAGGGTGATATGGAGGAGATCATGTGAGGAAGAAATGAAAGGTTGTTGGCATTCGTGGTAGCAGGTGCAAAAGATTGCAGAGAAGAGAATGAAATGGCGACGTGCTACGGAGTCCTTATTTTCCACTAGGAACTCAAGGGAAAAATAATAAATAATGACAAGCAATGTATGTAGGACCCCAAACATATGTAAGCGCGTAAACACATCTGTGTGCGATGTAATCATTGATGCAGTGTTTAGGTTTGTGGTGAAGCATATGTTTTATTATTTTTGCAGTATTAAGATTATCTGCGTAATATGTTCTCTTAATGACCGATGTTAGCTTACGTCTCAAAATTCTATGATTTAACTATCCTCTGTGCGGTAGAATGATTTGGACGCTCTTCTTAGGAACCATGTATATAGTTAGCTTCGGTGCTACCTAACCTCTTTAGCAGTTTTTAATAAACTTCAACGGATATCCATAAGTGTTTTGGTCAGTAATTTGATATCTTCATCCATCTTATCCGACGTGCAGGTAAGATAGATTCTACAAAACAGGCATTTTACTTGACCTCGCTTGTTTTGGATTGGACAAAAACTGTGTAAAGTCAGATACTGTCCTGTCCATGTAGGGTTTCTGTGAACTGACCGTCTTATTGAACCATCTTCTTGTCGACTCAGGAGTACGTTTAAGAATTGTAGATGATTATTATTCTCTTTCTCACAAGTCACAGTGATGTTATTTTGTACAGTTTTAAGTCTTTTCAGTAGACAAACCATAATATCCCCATACCTTTCACAAATCGCTATGATGTAATGAATATGTCTCTTGTGAAGAGAAACTTTAGCGATGAGATCACCAGCCAGATTTTCCATATATTTGTGTTGGAATTATTTTCTCACTAATTTTGTGTGCTCCTCTCTTTTTTTTTGCATTTAGCCACATTACTGATCCTGATGGATTGTCGTTAACGTGTGAACAACAGAATTCATGTCCCACAACTCCAGATCCACCTTTAACCCCTATACGATCAACAACAAGAATAGTAGTACTGCCAACAAATGATCAGTCATTATCCACTGAAGATGATCATCATCATAATAATAATACTAACAATACTGATGATAAATATGTTTATAGACATGGGAATTTGACAAGTCATAAGTCAAATATATTTTCATGTAGTAAACCATCTATTCCATCAACATTACAGTCATCGCCTCCTCTGCCACAACATAAACATCACCAACATTATCAACTGCATCCCTTACAACCACAATCATTGTCCTGCCTTTCTTGTGCTGATTCAAATAATGAACAATACCAGCAACGAAATTATTCACAACCACCGCCTTATCAATACCAGCAACAACAGCATCAAAAATTATCTGTCAGTTTAAATTTACCGGTGACTACGTGTTCAATGTCCAATTTAAACCAATTGGACCTATTGGATTTGACTGTGACATCAGTAATGCAGAATATCAATGATAATAATACTACTACTATTAATAATAATCATAACAATGCTGATAATTTAAAGAATAATACTGTGGTTAACAGTATAACGTGTCTTGATAATAATGACCATAATACTAGTAATAATAATGTTATGAGTAAATATATATCTGATTCAGACGATCATTCAGGTGGTCATTTATCAGTTGCAGCGAAATTATCAAAATCCTTAGCTGAAGACAATCTATTTCGTAATCCCAAAGCATTGCCTCCACCGAAGAAATTGAAAAGTAAACCAGCGCCTATATCTATTCCTCCACAAGTAAGTAATTTCATTCATCATTACACTAAACTAAGTGAGATGGGGATGAAATTGATTGAAATAACATGGTGGTTGTAATATATAAACGGATGTTTCTTTGTGTGTATGGGTGAAGTTGTTAGACAATTTGAATAGCCTGCACAGCAACTAGTTTGTTACTCTTCTTACTGAGTTATAGTCATAAGATCACCTACTGGCTAACTTGGCTTCAGAATATCTTCATCTTATTCCTTATAGCAGGTTTCATGATTGTTTCATCTCTTTCATCATAATGTCTTTTACTTTGAAGTGCTGATGTGAGGTGTGCCAACTTTAATTATTCAGCAGTGCTACTAGATAGTTGCTCTCAATTACTAGCTTTTTCATTGCCAAAATTACACTAGTTATCTCTCTGAGTCTTCTAGTCTTGACGTAAACCAAGCTGGATATACATATTTGCGTATAAATGTATACACCTTGACGGGTGGGGAGCAGTTATTGTCAACTCAGTATTTGTATATCACAGACATTAACATTTCAGCAGCCCAGTTCACTTATCCCACTGAAGTTTATGCTGTAAGAAACTCGACGACGTTCCCAGCAAATGTAATCACACCTACTTTTAACAACTGAGTTTCATGATCTTATCACCTCATATTCTTTGTTGAAGATGAAATGAAGATTTGGACCGCGGCCGGATTCAAAACATCGACCACTGGAACGGAAATCCAGTGGTCGTTGGTTCGAGTCCGGTCACTGTTCAAGTCTTCATTTCACTTTCAATCGCCACCCAGTATATATATATATATATATATATATATATATATATATATATTGGGTCATTCACATTACATGTGTTAGATGTTGGTTCGATGAACAAAGATTTAGTAGTCAGTCTCTCTCTCTCTCTCCACCTAATTATACTGGACTTAAGTACAGTGGCTCTATCCCACCTCATTGTGTGGTTGCGTGTTAATCCATGAATTGTAATAGTCCAAGTTTGCTTTCTTCTAGATGACTGGTCCTATTGAGGTGTCTATCATTCGATATTTAACTAGATTTCTATGTTATGATAATCTAACTGACTACGACCGGTTAATACAACCTATGTACTTGACCTCACAGAGGTTGCACGGAATGTAGTAGATAGTTTAGATACTAACCTCTGCAGGACAGTGACATCTTATAACAGGTATCTAGACTTCAAATGATCTTATGCGATAATAGTTACGGCGGGTTCAGATAAATGTCTAAATAATAGAGCTAGGTAACTCACTATTGACTGCAAGTCTTTTATTAAGGAATTGAAGCAACAGAAACGTCACTAATCAATGTTTATTTTCTACAGTTTATTACAAAATTTGTATTAACACGTAAGAAACGAAATAATGACAGTAATACAAATACAAATAATCGCGACAACATGAGTAGAAAGGACTTCAAAGCGTCTATTGTCTTAGCATATGAAGTTGATGAATACTACCTCAAAAGTAAAATTCCCTATAACGTCAAAATACACCACGGTATAGTGCTGACTAGTGACATGCTTCTAGATGGATATCTTGAAGTTCTAATGAGAAGCCGTGACCTGTGGGACCAACCAGTTGGAAGGAAAGCGCATGCCATTTGAAGACATTGGGTGATAGTCGCGCTACATTCTGACTTGACAGAAATTGGAAACTGTGAAGCTTTGAATTTTGACCTAGTGAATGAATGGTTAGCGCGTTCGCCATGAAACCTGAATGTCTTGAGTTTGATCCGTAGCCGAATCGTGGGTACGTACTGCTGAGGAGTCCAACACTCCAACGAAGTAGCTGTCCAATGCTCTCCGGCTTTCAATGATTCCCTAATTGATATCAGTCTATGATGAATGCCACCTCAAAAATATAGAGAAAGAACATCAAAAACTTTGCGTCAGATTCTTAATATGGGTTGAATTCGAGTGACACTCAAACCGACAAACTCACTCAGAGATAAGATTTATCAGTTTGTAAATCAGACGGAGCCGGATAAACAAAAGAATCTAATATGCCAAACTCTGCGCAGCATCTGTGAGGTCAAGTACATAGGTTATATTAACCGGTCGTAGTCAGTTAGATTATCAGAACATAGAAATCTAGTTAAATATAGAATGATAGACACCTCAATAGGACGAGTCATCTAGAAGAAAGCAAACTTGACTATTACAATTCATGGATTAACACGCAACTACACAATGAGGTGGGATAGAGCCACTATACTTAAGTCCAGTATAATTAGGTGAAGAGAAAGAGTCGTGATCGGTGGAGGCAACGCCTGAGAACAGTTACTCAACGATGACATTGGGTGGCTGTTGGGCTATATCGTGAGTCAATAGAAGTTGGAAATATGGACCACTGGATTCTGACCCAGTGGTTCAATAGTAACGTGCTGGTCATGGAACCTGAAGGTTTCGGGCTCGATCCCTGGAGGGTGGGGTCGTGGGTGCGCATTGCTGAGGAGTCCCATACTAGGACGAAACAGCTGTTCAGTGCTCCTAGGATTCCTTTGTACCTCCCACTGATGTCAGTCTACGATGAATAACAACTTGAAACTACTAAATCTCTGTTCATCTCACCAAAACCTAACACATGTAACGTGAATGACGCAATATATATATATATATATATATATATATATATATATATATCAGAGATATGAAAACGTTTACTACCAATAAAAACAAAGAAAATGAGATGACAGGAGTATAAAATTCGATTTTCCAAAGTGCCGTGATTACACTGATATGACTATGTCATCCATTATTTACGCTTGAAACATCATTGAGTAAATAATACTGTATCACTATACGCAGTACATCATATAAACAAATCTTAGATGGAATTACATTCTACCACGGTGTACAAGTTTTACATTTGTATGAATGTTACTTTCTACTTATTCCAGTCTCAAAGATTCTATAGTACCTATGACATACTTATTCCTCCTTGGTTAAAACAATTCAATGCATTATCCATAGGATTTCTTTTCCTTTAGTGAGATTATGAAAACTCATCCATTGCATGGCTTTTTCTATTGTATAAATATTCTACACTAAAATGTTTGTTTCTAAATGAGGCTATTATTATAATTTTTCTTAGGTGACTAAAAAACAAAACGGTAATCAAGAAACATGAATTGATATGTCTCATTATGCCTTCAGTATATAAATAATGTTTTTAGTGATTATATGTATGTATATTGATCTTGTTAATAAGGGTTTTGATCATAGATGCCTTCGTAGGATTACTCGCGTTTGCTGGAATCACTGTATGAGGAATGTTGAGGTCAGGCAAAGGGTACTAGACAAGATAAGCAAGTCGATTGATGGGATTGTGAACATCAGTCGAGAGAGAGAGAGAGTTTGGACATGTGCTGTGCATACCGGGTCACCGTCTACCTCGACTTGCTATACTAGGGGAGGTTAGATTAGGTTGTCAAAGGCTTTAGGCTGGCCAGACTAATACATGGCACGAATAGATTAAGTCTCTTACTTTTGGTCTCAGCCGTATGAGGAGATTTAAAATCGCTATTTGGAGTCTTCGGTTCGATGGGAATCGGTGATTGAGATGTCTTAGTGATAGGGCTGAAAGTCAATCACAATGGTGTAGATGTATTTACTCCCTGAGATCTTCGAAAGCTTGAATATTTGCACTAACCTTTCTTTAACTTCAAATTCTTAATTCCATCCATTTGTTCTTTGTATACTACTGTGAAGTGCAGCCACTTGAGCTGATGTACTTGTGTACAAGATTCTACGTTAATTTTGTCAGTCAGTCTCAAGTCAGTTTATGTTTCATCTTTCGTTGTTCGTTTCGATAACTTTTTCGCTTCTGTTATCTTCTTCACTGTTATGAATTATGACAACTTGAATCGTTGCTCTATCATTGTACAATTTTTCTTGTTTATGATTACTTTTTAACTAATACAGAACAATGGAGCGGTGTGCTACCTTACGCCTGTGAAAGCTGGCCCCATCGATAGGTGAATGTTTTATAACTGTATGTTCAATCAGTGACATCTGCATACAATTATTATCATTTATTATTTTTCCCCTGGGTTCCTAGTCGAACATAAGGCTTCAGTAGCACGCCTCCATTGCACTCTGTTGTCTGCAGTCGTTTCAACCTGCTGCCACGACTGCCCACAAGCTTTCATTTCTTCCTCACATGATCTCCTCCATGTCACCCTCGCCTCTGACGCCCTTTGGATTCCACTCGAAGGCCTTGCATGGCGCGTGATGTCCCCAAACCGTCTTCTCAGTTCATACCCAATTCACCTCCACTTTCTTCTGCACATTTGTTGGGTGATACGTTCTTGGTAGTTTGTTGTCCGGTTAGAGTTCCTTGTTGCTTATTCTTGTTATTCTGGCCATCTGATCTTCAGTATCGAGTGAGCGTAGGCAGTTGTTGATAAAGTCGTCTGGGTGACCGGAGTAGATTTTCGACTCTCCAGTTAAAAGTTTGGAGAGTCCACTCCCATTCCGTCTGCTCTCGCAGATTCCAAGCACTTCCATGCCATACCTCCTCATCTCTTTTGCAATCTGGGCTGCCTTGCTGGGTTCAAACATAGTGCGAACATTCCATGTCCCCATCCTTACTTTCGCTTTCATCGAGAGAGAGAAGACACATCGGCCAATCGGCTTCCCGAAGGCTTTCATCAACCGGCGTCATTTCGTCTCTCCGATTCTAGTGAGGAATAAGTCTATTTTTATGTTTTATATTTTGTTTGTGTTGTGAAGTTTCTTTAGTGATTGGATTGGTTTTACGGGGTAGGGTTGCTAGCTTTATGCCAAACCTTCCCTGTTTATCCGGGCTTAGGACCGGCTAGTAGCTAGTGAACTAGTTAACCAGGCGAGGTTCTGCATACAATTGCTTGCATTCAATAGAATAACCAATTTACTGTCTTTCTGTTCCAGTAGTATAAAGCTTGTCACTCAGTTTTTGAATTCACCTTTAGACAATTGTTTAGGTGGTTTGGACACTTCTCACTCACCCACCTCCCCTTAGTGGCTATCACGCTAACCTTTGTAACTGATTAAAAGAAGTGTAATGGTCAAAGGGTGTTCTACTGCCCGGTATTATACAGTTATAGCAATATAGTATTTCAATCTTTCTAGATATGAAGAGGGAGAATTCAGAAATTGTTGATTTGGTCGCGTAGCCTTCTGTTACTGACAATAGAGATATCTTAATAATAATCTGAGGAGAGTCTGGTTGTTACACCTACCACCGGAAGTCGATATCTTCCAAGGATAAGAGGACATATTAGTCAAAATCAACGTAGATTCGTGCACGCAAGTGCTTTGGTTCAAGTTGCTACGCTCCATAGTAGCATGTAAACAGCAAATGGATAGAAAAAAAGACTGATATTAAATTAGAAAAAGGTGTATAAATAGAGAAAGAATTTAAAAATGGTTAGTGAAGATACTCAAGTATTGAAGACGTCGGGCTGGGGAATATACCTACACCGTTGTGACCGATTTTCAGAAATATCATTCAGTGCCTGTAATTATAAACTCAGACAAGTGATACATTTGCCAGGGTTTACTATGTTCATGATCAGTTTCTGGAAGATCATCATCCCTTTAGAAGTGAATAATTTATCCCAATTCCTTTGTTACTTTTTACTTACTTCCGTTAGTCTTTTTAACTTTTTTAAGATTTTTGCTACTTCCTTCTCCATCATATTACATTTCACCAATTGCGATGAGTTGATACCTGATATGAGCGTGTAGCGAGCATGAAAGGTGGTAAGGCTGATCTGTGTACAGTGTTGACCGTATATGGCTCGAATAATGATTCATGCATTCTGATCAACAATGCTTTCTGTTCAGGCATATTTATTTCAGACGTAAACATTAAGAGTAAGCAACACTTGAACAATTGGAGTTGTAGATCACTTTGGTTTTCCAGGAATCACAACTAGACGCGTTCAAGTTTGCACTGACCAATCAGAATCAAGAATATAAAGGATAACGTAATTTTTAAGGAAAGTGGTACCGGATGCTAAGACACTTGTACTCGAAACACTTGGTAGAAAGTAAAACGTTAGAGGTAATAGTTGAATGGTTATATGATCTAGAATTTTACACACTATTCGGCAGATTGATTTCTCTGAGATTGAAGGACTTGTCTATTTTATTGAGCATTGAAGTATTCAGCTATTAAAATCAATCACATGTAGGCGGTCAGTTTCTTATATCCCAGCCTAACGCCTCATCCAGTCTAATCAGGCTATCACCTACCTCGATGTGCCATGCTAGGACAAGCTAGATTAGGTTAGAAAAGGGTTCAGGGTGGTAAAACCAAGACGTGGAACCACTAGATAAAGTCCCTACATGTTGGTCTACGCGATGTTAAGAAGTGTAAACTGCCTGACTGGGGTCATCGAGACGAAATAAACTAGTAGTTGAGAGCTCTTGGTGATATGGGTGAAAACCGATCTTAGTACCGCCTGTGTATACTTCCATTAACATCTAAAGCTTGAATATTCACACTAGCCTTTGTCTTCATATTGTTCATTCTCTCACGCAACGTTTTCTACCTTGATATCACCCTTTCTATCCACCTGTTCTTTGTATACTTACTGTGAAGTGTGGCAACTTGAAGTTATACACTTGTTTGCGAGATTGTGCGTTGATTTTGTTTAATCAGGACTATCTGCTCTTCATCGTTTCTCGTTTGTTTGCAGCCTTCTTAACTTCTAAGAGATTTGGAGATCCAATCTCATCGCTGCATTTGGTCTACGATGGGATAACTGACAACGGGAAGGTATCTGAAGCCTGACTGCTTACTTCTTCAGTCCTGTCTCCTCTGCGAGTGAATCACGAGGGCATTTTTTCTCGGCTATATTCTCACTAAACACCAACGCTTTCATACCTCTTTCCTCAATATGTATAGATCACTGTGTACGATTTTCTATCTTTACAATCTTTATCTCTTCAGCCTTTAGTTCCCGCTTCTTCCAATGGTCTCTCTATCAGTTTACTTTTTTTTCTGTTTTTCATTATGCTAAGCATTTGGTGTAGTGTTTTCACGTACATACAATAATTCAGATAAGTCCAGTGACGTCTACTGACCCTGTCTTACCTTTTTAAAGGTTAGTTACAATCTCTACTGCTGTTTTAAGAAAAAGGGACCGCAGGTTTTGACAGTCTTCTGTTGCTAAGTTTTTGACCTGTTCTTCCGCCAAAAAAGCCTCAGAGTACTCTTTGAACTGAGCTCATCACAGTATTCTAGTTTATGTCGACATATAGTTTACTTCAAGAGAGAATTTGATGTACTCAAAGTAATGTATGGTTACTTTCGAAGCACACGCTTCAGAAGAAACATTATTCGTTCAATAAGCTCGCATAGCATAAACATACCGATGGGATCTATATATCTCCCCATTGTTTAGCAAAGGTAAGGTGGTCATCAGTCCTGACAGTCTGTCTGCATGTAACAAGGGGCATCTAGTTGAGCCGTAGGCTTTCTCCTTCAAAACCCACTGTTATCCCTGCGCTTGCGAGTTCACAAGATCCCAGCTCAAGCTTACCCAGGTATTCATAGGTTGTATTTCGCCAACTCACATTGGATATCTGGTTCGTACACACATGTACGTCGTACATGTATAGTACATGTATATAGTACATTAATACCATGAGATTGTAAAGCTTCTGCTGTGGAGGCTTATTGTTAAATTTGACCTAGTATATGAGTGTTAAATGCTCCGATGTGTAACTTAGAGTAGTTTTAAGGCACGTAGACTGCCGTATATTTTTGTAGGCTCTATTGTATAATGAAGTGCTTCTTACCTTAGTACTGAAACCTGTGATATTTTGTACTGATTCACATTAAGTTTTTTTAACTGTCAATCTCTCTTCTATGTACGCCAATTTAAAGTCCTACAATACACTCAACCCTGATACGTGAGGTTCCATGTTTGTATATCGTTGATTGGCTAAGGGCCATTGGGTTGTATCACCCACTGTTGATTCATTCTAATTTTGACTTGTTAATCCAGACGTTTGACTTTTAAACAGTTGCTCATAACCTCAAAGCCCAATAATCCACCTACCAATACTCTAGAGACCAAGTAGTATTAATTTACCCTCCCATAATGGCCCATATAGTCTAGAGTTGTATCATATATCACCTTGTCTTGATCCATGCACAAAACATGATCCCTATTTTTTTTAAAGTTGAATGCTTTTTGTAGATGGTCACTTCAGGTTGAAGAACACTAAACACACAATGCTGATAGACAGTAAGGTTCTTATGCATTTTGAAGCTTGTTCTTAAAGTCTTTCGAAAACGAACATGTTTCGTTAAATCACGTTTTATTGATGACAGGAAACGAGGTAAGCTAGATTTTCTTTCAACTTATTAAGTACTTATCTACGTATGTTGAAAAGGAGATTGGGCTATATGTTATGAATTTTGATGTTTTTAAAGTTGTATTCATCACGGACTGATATCACTTGGAGGACCACTGAAAACCTGGGAGCATGGAACAACACCAGTTTCGTCTTAGAATGGGACTCAGCGTTACACGCCCACGAATCCGCTCGGCCAGAAACCCAACTCATGACCTTCAGGTTTCACGGTGAACGCTTTTACCATTCTGCTACTGGGTCGCGGAGTTCAATGGTTCACAGTTTTCTACTTCTCTCAATTTTTATTTATAAGGTAACATTGATCACGGACGTGCATAAATTGGGGAAGTGTTGAAAACTTGGAGACATCGTACAGCAAATGTTTCGTCTTTGTATGGGACTCTTCAGCAATACTCAGTGGTTCCTCTAATAGATATCAGTCCTTGATGATTTCTACGTTAATATATTGTTGGTTTTATCAGGAGAATTTCCCTTACCATTCCTGTTTATTTCCTGATACCATTGAGGTTCGTTAGACTTTCTTGTTGAAGTGGATTTTTCTTAAGATAAATGTCGAAATCAAGTTGCGACAGTTTTCTTCCTCTTTTTGTGCATGTGTGTTTCATTTTACAGACTGGTGCAAATCTGTCAAGATTACGTTCCCCACGTGTATGGAGTTCGAAAGGGTGTTCGCTAGACTCTAGCCCTCCACCATATACTCCACCTCCAATGCTTAGTCCTAATCGTCAAGGTTCTGGTCTATTCGCCTCCTTGTCCCGGTGGTCGACAACACCGACAACATCAGCATTAACAACCCTCCGGTCTACTGTTGGCTATAATAATACAATATTGAATCGTCGGTACTCCAGTCATTATTCATCTACAGGAGTGGCTGGTACCACTTCATTATCGAATTCGGTTTACAATGATTTAGATAATCAAAACAATGCTACTGGTGGTCAATTGAAACGACGTCATGCAAGTAGCAGTTGTAGTAGTGGTGGTACAATTGGGATTACTGCTTCCAATCAAAGTATCAATACAATGATGGACCCAGGTAGCAGTAGTGCTGATAACCACCATAATTATGATGGCAATGGTGATAATATTAATTCTGGTGCTGTTGACTCCATTACTGACTCGTATATGCGTGATTTGAATCGACCAATAGCGTATACACGTAGAAGACGTCAACAACTTACACCGAAATCCGCTCCCGTGTTGATTCTCAATCCAAATACCAATAAAAATCAGGTAGTTTATTCAATTTTAACTGTAATTACAATATACCTTCATATTGTTTGCTGGTATTTACCGTATTTTGCAACTCATGGGAGAGAGAGAGAGGAAGGGAGGTGAACAGTGTCAGCAATATTATCAATTATTCACCGATATCATTCTTGACTTTGTCGGTGTATGACAGACTTTTGTCAGTGAAAAAATATCGAGATTATTGATATGATAACTACCGAGGTTGGCGGAAGGAGAATCCGGCATTCAACTACAAAACCCTGATAGCCATCAGTCCTTGTTTTTCTATCAGATATATTATAATCGATGAGCTTTATTTGGTTCTGCTTAATTACAAATTGAATGTAAGACATAATAAAGCGATTGCTTCATCATATACTATTGAAATGAACACCTTATTGTTATTATTATTTGTCTTTTGGATTCCTAGTGGAACATGGGGATTCACTAGCACGTCCCCATTTCACTCTCTTCTCTACAACCACTTCAACCTGGCTCCACTACTGCCCACAAGCTCTCATTTCTTCATCACACCATCTCCTCAATGTCAACCTCACCTCAGACACCCAACTCATCCTTTCCCCTTTGCCTAACACTCCAGCACCTGACCTAACCTGGCGTGTGATGTCCCCAACCTAAACAGTCTTCTCAGTGTATGTCTAACCCAATCCAATCGAATCCATCTCCACTTTCTTCTTCTGCATATTTGTTGAGTGATAGGTTGTTGGTCGACAGGTTCGTTGTAGGGTCAGCCAGAGTTGCTTGTTATTTATTATTATTATTCTGACCATCTCATCTTCAGTATCAGTATTAGGTGGGCGTAGGTGGCAGCTGTTGATGTGATGTATGTCTGTAGTTTGTTGGGAATGCTTTTCGTGACGCACCAAGTCTCTCAACGATCATATAGAAGCACTGACTTACTTGATTGACATGAGTGTTGAAAATCTGGACGTTGTTCACGCTTTATGCTGAGTGCGGTGCAGTGCAGTGTAGTGCAGTAAATCACCATACTGATTTCAGATTAATACAGGAAGGCCTGTCTGGTTGTTTTTCGTATCCTGGCTTTGATGTCCTTATGTGTGTGTATACCGCTGCCTGTAGTTGAAACGATGCTTCCTAGGTAGGTAGGTAGGTGTGTAGGTGTGTAGGTAGGTAGGTAGGTAGGAAAAGGAGAGAACTTACTTCAGATTTCTCCTGTTGATGGTGATTGGTGCTTACTCTTGTTGTTGTTATTCGTTGGGTATCTTCATCAACTCCGTCTTCTCTACGTTCAACTGAAGAAAGTCCCATCTTCCTTCTCTGTCTCGCCTCTTTTGTCAAATTGTTAGTTTTCGCCTGTTAATCTTCGAGTTTGTGCGACCGGACATTAGACATAAATCATCATCGGCGAAATCCAAATCTTGTTCTGGTGTATTTTCATTTGTCGAGTCGGCGTGTGCTTATTTTCTCGTTCTTCACAGTTTGTTGAATGACCCAGTCCAGTTGACCACAATCAGGTAGATGATAGGTGATAGTAAGCGGCAACTTTGTCTTACTCTTGTCTTCACTTCAAAGGCATCACACTACAATACACGGTCATGAATTAATCAGGAGAGGTTGGATGATTCTTGGGTCTATTCTACATATGGTCACATGTCAACATTGTTAGGAACTGGCAAACAGCTGGCTCTGCTGTCCTCAACTTTTGAATCGTACTCTAACTTACACTAATGTGTGTGGTACAAGATGCTGCGAAGTCAACTTTTCAGCAAAACTAACTAATCCACACAACTTGATAGCTGCTGTCCACCTAATTATCTATCTGCATAAGAAGTTGGAGCTAGTATATGCTTCAGCAGTATTCAGAGACAATTGTTTCTCTCGACCAGTAAGCAATAATGAAGATTCTGTTTTTGTGTGTTTTAGACAGAGATTGTCCGTGTTGCTCAAGCTTTCGAATTTATTCAAACATCAAGCATTCAAATGCTAGTATTCATCAAAATTCACTTCTTAAAATGCTCGATACTGATGAACTTATCTAGCTAATGTAGGTTTCTGATGAAGCAAGTGTTTTGTTTCCTCCACAATCATAAGATTAGCTGTGTAAGAGGCTTTCCTAATGGCTGATGTTGGCCTGAATCTTAAAATTCTACTATTCAACTCCCTTCTGTATTGTAAACGGATATAGACGCTTATCTTAAGAACTGTGTATAGAGTTGGCTTTGATGTTACCTAACTTCTACAACGGTTTATAAACTTCAGAGGATATCTATTTTCCATAAGTTTTTCGATCAGTACAAAAAGTTTGTTCTTATACTACCCACCCAACTTGGTAAATTTCGTTTTCTTACCAAGATTAGGATCAACAATCATGTCACTCCTTTTCGTTCTCATCTTTCTTAAATTTAATCCCTCTATTGTCTTAATTGTTCTATTTGTACTCGCATTCACTCTACGGTTTTACATAAATTGACTTGACAGGTAAATATGTGATCTGATTGTTCAAAATGTGTATTGTGCAAATACATCACACACTGTTCAGATAAATTTCATATTCTAATTACTACATATATATAGTATGTTGTCATGTAAACATGACCTCAGGAAAGTATAGAAGACTAAAGGAAGCAAGAAAGAGAAAACTGGTATTAATGAAGACTAAAAATTTCGGTACATTCCAAATCGTCATTTACGCTACAACCAATTTATTCTCTTTACATATATTGATTTGGAGTATGCAGATGGCATTGCCGTACTGGGTGAAGATGCTGACGAAATCCAATGCTTTCGAAATGTCTTGAGCAGAAATCTGAGTATGTTTGGCATGCGTTTTGCATGTGTCATATGTAAGATAATGCTCCAGGATTAGTCTGCAACCACTCCCAGCTTAAGCATAAGAAATGAAGTGGTGGAATGTATCAACTACTTCACCTTATGAAGGAGTTGTATCAGCCTATCAAATGGGTTGGTTGCTGACAAAATCTCACATTGGATACGAAAGGGTTGTTTGGCAGTTACCAACATGCGTCATCTGTGGTCTCGACTGGTGAGATATCCGACAAGCAATCAAAAACGAATGTACTGTGCAGCAGTCCGTTTTGTCCTGTTATACAGATGTCAGACATGTCAGTTGAAAGTAGAAGACACGAAGGGATTACAAGATATTCGTAGCATTGCTCGCGTTTGGTGGAACCATCGTGTGAGCAATGTAGATGTCAGGCAAAGGGTACTAAACAAGACAAGCAAGTCGACTGATGAGGTTGTTAACCTTTGTGGACTGAGATAGCTTCCACATCTGTTGCGTATACCGAGTCGCCACCACCTATCTAGACGAACAACTTAGGGGAAGCTGGAATGGGTTGCAAAAGCGTTCAGGGTGGTCAGACCTAGACATACCACCAGTCGATGAAGTATCTTACTGTCGGTTTGAGCTGCGTTGAGAGATTCAGACTATCTGGCTGGGGTCTCCACGATGAGAGGAATCAGTGGTTGAGGACCTTTGGTGATATGGGTGAGAATTAGTCACAATGATGCAGATGTATTCACTAACCTTCAAATTGTTTATTCGCTCAAACTTCCTTATTTGCTTTGATATCACTTCTTTTCTATTCACCTGTTCTTTGTGTACTACTGTGAAATGTGGCAAATTGAGCCAATGAACGTGTGTGTGAGATTCTACCTTGATTTTGTTCGTGCGTCTGCCTGGTATGATAATAATTTTAATGTTGGGATAACTCATTTATTGAACAGAAGTCAACATTTGAGTTGAAGTTATCTTGGCTGTATTGTGTTCTCTGAGCTGGGTCGTTTGAACGTGGAGCCTTCATCGCCTTTCTAGACGACAATACCATCACTACAACAACGTCACGGATAAAGGGAGAAAATTACTTGATGCCCATCTTAAAGAAGAACGGCTACCCACGAAACGTTATCAGAACATGCCTATCCCGTACATCATCAACTACAAAATCATCGACAGAAACCAATAAACGCATCATCCTACCGTACATGAAGATCATATCAGAAATCACGACAAGATTACTGAGACCACTTGGAATTGGTGTGGCTCATAAACCAACAAATTCCCTCTAAACACTATTATGCAGACCAAAAGATCCAACAAGCAAAGAAGACAAACCAAATATCATTCACAAAAGCAACTGTAATAACTGTAGTCAAGACTACATTGGATAAAGTGGTCACCCTCTTCGACTTCGTCATTTACATGAACACCAATTGGCTATTGAACATCACACATGATATTTCATCACTCATTTTAATGCACGTGGATAACAACCATGGACATCAATTCGATTTTGACAATGTAGAAATGTTGGAGTGAGAGGGGAAACACAAAGAATATCAGAGAATTCCTAGAAGCTTGGCATTCAGCTCAGCTCAGCTCAATTCAGTCAGTCAACAATCAGTAGATGTATAGACACAGACTCAATCTTCCAACCAATGAGAAAGATGACAAACGATTGGAAAATGAGAGGTCAATCAAAGGGAGAGTCAACAGGAAAATCTATACAGTCAGTCAATGAGACAACAATCAAAGGAAACAACCAATCACAGATCACTTCGTCAAGGCAAGCTACTAAATCACTTGTGGAGAGATATTGATAGCTGACTTCATACTAGATTTAGTGTTGATGATGTCGATATCTAGCAAGATGCTGAAAGCTTCACAACTGAACAACCCAGCTCAGAGAACATAATACAACTAAAACCATCCACTTGAGCTACTAATATTCTCCACCAGTTTTTTATCTGCATACACATATATGTTTTGAGGGAGTTGTGGAGATTTGGAATTATTTCAAGTTGTTATTCATCGTAGACTGACATCAGTTGGAGGAACAAAGGAAACCTGGGAGCACTGGACAGCTGTTTCGTCCTAGTATGGGACTCCTCAGCAGTGCGCACCCATGACCCCACCAGCAGGGATCGAGCCCGCAACCTTCAGGTTCCGTGACCAGCGCGTTACCATTGAGCCACTGGGTCAGAATCCAATGCTCCATATTTCCAACTTCTGTTAGCTCACGATATATAGCGCAACCGCCACCCAATGTCATCGCTGAGTATTTTTCCTCATGGCCATCAGGCTTACATATATATGTCTTCATTTTGAAAATGAGATGTCACTGTTTTATTATTGTTAAGCTACTGTTAAATTAGAAATTTATTGCATTTCATTGCAGAAGAGAAATCAAAATTCAGTGAATCAATTCATTAAAAACAACATCTGTATTCTTACGTCATCAATGTGTAAACTCCACACACACACACACACACATTTGAATTCATTAGCTTTATTTGCAAATAAGCAACTAAAATGTGTTGCATTTTAGCTATTCAATAACTATATCATTTAGTAAGTTGTTTGTATCCTGAGGTAGATGGAATAAGGAATTTGGAATTATAACTTATGTCACGGAATTCTAATATAATCAATCCATTGACAAACGATGTGACTGTACAAACAGTTTTTACCATAGATGCCTATGATAAGTAATAATAAACAAACAATGTACAACAGTTTGCCTATTCACCTTATAAAGTATCGCAACAGTAGAAACAGGAGATAAGTGAGGTAGAAAAATAAAAGGGAAATGTGGATGTGCACTACATTGTCCTGCAGTTTGGGTAAGCCTACCTGGGTTAGGTAGAGGTTAGGTACAGTGTGTAAAGATGGTGGGGAGTTACATTCAAGAGGATGATTGTTGCTAGGTGCACGTCGGTCTAACGATGAACTAGCCGGATCCAATCTCCGATAGCAAGATGCAAAGACCAACGCTTACAAGGTTTTTATTTAGGTTAGAATTCATCATGAACTGACATCAGTTGGCGGAAAACTGGACAGCTGATTCACTATAGTATTGGACTCCTCAACAGAGCGCACGGATGACCCGCCCCCCACCCCAAGGACTGAAGCCAGGATCTTCAGGTCCCGTGGCCAGTATGTTACGTTACGTTGAGCCACTGGATCGGAATCCAATCGCCCATATTTTCTGCTTCTGTCAGTTCATGATATAGCGTGACCTCTATCCAATGTCATCATTGAGTAACTGTCCTTATATTCGACTTGGTTGACTCCACTGGTCACGATTTCTCATTGCAACTTTGGCAATCACCTCTAGAATACAGTCACCGATGAGCACTAGATTATATTTTTATATCGTCTACAGGTACGCTGTTGTAAGGAGGGGGTGGATAGCCTTCATATAAGAATGTTTCTGTATTGCATAACAACTAAGCAGCTAACAGATGATCTTCCTCATTATGGTTGACTGGACTGGGTCATTCAACAAACTGTGAAGAACGAGAAAATAAGCACACGCCGACTCGACAAATGAAAATACACCAGAACAAGATTTGGATTTCGCCGATGATGATTTATGTCTAATGTCCGGTCGCACAAACTCGAAGATTAACAGGCGAAAACTAACAATTTGACAAAAGAGGCGAGACAGAGAAGGAAGATGGGACTTTCTTCAGTTGAACGTAGAGAAGACGGAGTTGATGAAGATACCCAACGAATAACAACAACAAGAGTAAGCACCAATCACCATCAACAGGAGAAATCTGAAGTAAGTTCTCTCCTTTTCCTACCTACCTACCTACCTACACACCTACACACCTACCTACCTACCTAGGAAGCATCGTTTCAACTACAGGCAGCGGTATACACACACATAAGGACATCAAAGCCAGGATACGAAAAACAACCAGACAGGCCTTCCTGTATTAATCTGAAATCAGTATGGTGATTTACTGCACTACACTGCACTGCACCGCACTCAGCATAAAGCGTGAACAACGTCCAGATTTTCAACACTCATGTCAATCAAGTAAGTCAGTGCTTCTATATGATCGTTGAGAGACTTGGTGCGTCACGAAAAGCATTCCCAACAAACTACAGACATACATCACATCAACAGCTGCCACCTACGCCCACCTAATACTGACACTGAAGATGAGATGGCGAGAATAATAATAATAAATAACAAGCAACTCTGGCTGACCCTACAACGAACCTGCCGACCAACAACCTATCACTCAACAAATATGCAGAAGAAGAAAGTGGAGATGGATTCGATTGGATTGGGTTAGACATACACTGAGAAGACTGTTTAGGTTGGGGACATCACACACCAGGTTAGGTCAGGTGCTGGAGTGTTAGGCAAAGGGGAAAGGATGAGTTGGGTGTCTGAGGTGAGGTTGACATTGAGGAGATGGTGTGATGAAGAAATGAGAGCTTGTGGGCAGTATTGGAGCCAGGTTGAAGTGATTGTAGAGAAGAGAGTGAAATGGGGACGTGCTAGTGAATCCCCATGTCCCACTAGGAATTCAAGGGACAAATAAAATAAATATGTAATGTATTGTAGTAGTCTTCAGTTAAGACGAATCAACTTTTCGCGGCTTCTTTACTTCAAATAGTTTTTTGGTTGATGTCTATCTGTTGTGAAGCTGTTGTAAATTTAACTCTCCACTGTTTTTTGCTGTTGTAGGTAAGGTTCGTGAGTAAAAAGAGATTTTCATAGTCTTTTAAATGGTCAATAAACTAGTTAATGTACGAAATCATGTATTGGTAAGGATAAAGAAGCCTTGACTAATTAGCTTACACACATAGACAGATAGTTGAAGGATATTACACAGTTTTCTATCACAATACTGTATCCATCATCCATGTTACTGCTCTTTGCAAGCTGCATATGGACATAAAATCGATAAAGAAAGTAAAACAGATCACTGAACCATCTATAGAAGTATGTCGGTTCAAATTGCTTCTGTTCGTAATAGCGTGCGAAAAACAAATTGGTAGGAAAAGAATCACATTAAAGTAGACAAAAGTGTGTGCGTGTGTGTAGGAGGGGAAAGAATTTAATAAGAATTGATTAGTGAGAACACCAGAGAAACGAGTGAAGTATGGGAGCTAAAAGATAAGAAAACAATGAAGCTGTGATATTAAGGTGAAAAACCAAGAGTTTACGAATTTTTCTTAGGGTTCAGGGTGGCCAGATCAAAAAAACACATGGTACTCAGCAGCCTCGTGCAAATTCGTGTAGTGGATAATGAGCCACATCTACTATGTGAGGGCTTGTGATACAACTGGCCTCGCAAATCTCGGTAGGTGAAGCGGGGTTCGGACTCGTGACCCGCTGGTTGATAATCATCTCTTTAAACCACTGAAACTATGATCCAATGATTTAGAGAGATGACTATCAACTATTGGTTTTGCACAAGATGGCTGAGTGTGTTTCGTTCGTTTTGACCAGATCAGGACTTGGCACCAGTCGATGAATTCTCCTACTATTGGTTTGAGCTGTGTAGGGAGATGTAATCCACCTAGTTGGTGTCCCCGAAATGATAGAAATCAGTGGATGAGAACTGTTTGTGACAAAAACGAAAATCGGTTACAATGGCGCAGATGCGTTCACTCTTTGATATCTTCTAAAACTTAAATATTCGCACAAACCTTTATCTTCAGATTGTTTCTTCTGTTACACAACCTAGTTTACCTTGATATCATTCTTATTCTATCCACCCGCTCTTTGTATACTGCTGTGAAGTATGATGACTTGAGCCGTTGCACCTTTATGCAAAATTCTACGTTGATTACGTCTGTCTCTCTGTCTGATATTTGAAATATACGAATGAAGTGTACATTGTAGCTGTTAAACTAAGTTTAGTGACATTGTCGAACACTACATTTTGTTATAGATATTCGCAACTCATCATCAAGAAGTCCTTAGTCGTCTAGGCGTTTAATCGTTCACACTGATCGTTAAAGTCTATTGGTAAGCATCGGGAGATTTATATTCACTTTCAACTTGGAATCCGTTTCACCCCAAGCGTTTAGCTTAAGATAATGAACACCACTTTTTTTCATATTGAGAAATATAGCTTACAGATTCTGATCAACACTTAGGAATCCATATTCATATGGACTTGCTTCTTGTGATCAATTTTTGTATCGAGTACAGTGGATCAGTTGTCCTCTTACAAGCTTATTAGTAAATGTTATAACTTTAGCACTGTCGGATACAAGTTAAAATTGCCAAGTGAACATGAGTTTTTTTTTCATATGTCTTGACACTGTTCACTGATGAGCACAAGAAACCATAGAGTGAATCTCTCTACTGACTGATTCCAAACACATGCCACATAACAAAGGGAATACTTCGAATTTGGATTTGACTTGTTAACTTAGGTACTCAACTTCTAAACTTTGGGTCATAAGTTCAAATTCCACCCTCACCTAATTTAGTTTTGAGTAATCGGGTACTGTCATAAGACGTCACACAAACTAACTGTAGTATATGAATTTCTATAGGATTGCTTAGCTGGTATTCTTTTCACCTACGATCTTCAAACACTAAAGAGTCAGCAGATCTTTCTGTCTACTTATTTAGTCTAACTGGATGTATTTGGGATTACGTAACGCAGGATTAAAACTAATTGAAAGCCTTTTCCTAGTGATATTTCTTATTATTTTCTATTCTTTTCTTATCTCTATTAGATGACTCAGTCAAGAGATGTTCTTCAAGAAAATGACTCTATAAATCAATCACAACCACCAATATTCTCTAGTAGTGATACTATATTTGGTTATGATGATGAAACTATGCGTCGATTCGCTGAAGCAGATGCTGTTGATGAAGCCTATCGATTAAATCGACAGAAACAACGTCGTGATAATCATCATTCACGTCGTCGATGTGATACAGAATCGAATCTATCTAATATAACCTCAATCGATCATAAAACTGATACTTTTAATTCCAATACTGTTAATGATCGCTTGATTTTTAATAAAACTGATCAAAGTTTCAATTTTGCAGAAGAACAATTATTGAATTTTGACTTTGAAATGAAAGCAGTTGAAACAAATTATTCTGAAGCAACAAGGATACAATTTAATGAAGATGTTGATTTCAGTTCAGAAGGTGAAATGGAAGATGATGATGATGATGATGAGAAGGCGTACCGACGAGTATTATTCCGTAAGTAATTAAAACTTGAGAATTTATTTTCTTTACCACATCGTAGCTTATTTTAGAAGTTGAACTGTACATTCACTAAAATATCACTAACTTATTATACACAATAAAATGGGATTCATAGGGTAGAGCACAGTGCACACATAGCTCAGGGACAGATGGTCCGTTTAGCACTTACCAACTAGCATCATTTGTGGCGTTGATGAGATATCCAACTATCTATCAAAAGAGGAGTATTCTGAATCACTACAGTCCGTTCTGTCTTTTTATGCAGCTGTGAGATGCGATCATCAATAGTGGAAGATATGAAATGGTTACAAGGTTTTGATCATAAGTATCTTCGTAGAATTGCTCACGTTTTGTGGATTAACCATGTGAGTAGTGTCAAGATTAGACGAAAAGTACTGGACAAGTCGATTGATGAAGTTGTGAACCTTTATTGACTGAGATGGCTTGGACAAATGTTGTGCATGTTGATCCACCACCTATCTCGACGTGCAGTGCTAGGAAAAGTTGGACTAGGTTAGAAGAGACGTTCAATGGTGGCTAGATCAACGCGTGGCACCAGTCGATGAAGTCTTTTACTGTCGATTTGAGCTGTGTAGGGAGATGTAATCCACCTGGTTGGGGTCCTTGAGAGAATGAGAACTCTTGGTGACATAGCTGGGAATCGGTCAAAATGACGTAGATTTATTCACTCCTTGACGTCTCCTAAGGCTTGGATATTTGCACTAACTGTTATTTTCAAATTGTCTCTTATCTCACATAACCTAGCTTACATTGATATCATTCGTATTCTATCCATTAGTTCTTTGTGTACTACTGTGAAGTGTGGTGACTTGAGGCGTTGCACCTGTATGCTAGGTTCTGCGTTGATTTCGTACGTGACTGTCTGTCTGCATGATGAGTCACGTACATGAAACGGTTATTTGTCGCTAAAAGGAAGCTGTGGTTGTCAGTTGTACAACTATGAACTGATTCAATTATGTTACATTAAATTATTTACTAGCTGTGGTGTTTTAGTCAACTGACAGCTACTCCAAGTTAATGCACAAATGATTCATAACAACAAAACTAGTTGAAAGGCGATAACGAAGTTCTTTGAGAAAGTAAAATCTTCAGCTACAATATACAATATGCGTAGCATAGAGAAAACTTTGAAAAGGCCTTCGACAGCGCCGACCGAGAAGTAATTTGGTAGTTGCTTCAACACTACAGAGTGCCACAAATCCTTATCACCCTCATTCAATAGCTATATGAAAAGGACACATGCCAAGTGATCCACAATGGAAAGCTCACTGGCATCTGTGAAGTGAACACAGGAGTAAGACAAGGCTGCCTACTATCGCCGATAAGCTTCCTCATTGTGGTCGACTCGATCATGCAGCAAACCGTGAGGAGCAAGAAAACGGGCATACGCTGGCTGGACCGAAGAAAAGATCCTAGAATATTTGGATTTCACCGATAATGATTTATGCCTATTATTGCACAAACTCAAAGAACTACAGGCGAAAACTAAGAAGTTGACAGAAGTGGCAGCGAAAACAGGACTTCAAATGAATGTAGAGAAGACGGAGGTGATGAAGATACCCAACCACTAACAACAACAACAAGAGGCACCAATCACCATCAACAGGAGAAACATAAAGGAAGTAGTCTCTTTCACCTACACCTATTTAGACAGCATCGTTTCAACTACAGACAGTGGTACACATGAGGATGTCAAACCAGGATCGGGAGGACAACAAGACAAGCCTTCCTGTATTAATCTGAAATCAGTGTGGAGATCTACTACACTCAGCACAAAGAACAAGATCCGGATTTGCAACACTAATGTCAATCAAGTAAGTCAGTGCTTCTATGTGATAATCGAGAGACTTGGCGTGTCACGAAAAGCATTTCCAACAAACTACAGACATACATCGCATCAACAGCTGCCGCCTATGCTCACTTAATACTGACACTGAAGATGAGATGGCCAAAATAATAAGAATAAGCAACAAAGAAGTCTGGGAATGAACCAACCAACAACCTATCACCGAACAAATATGCAGAAGAAGAAAGTGGAGATGTATTTGGCATACACTGAGAAGGTCGATTGGGGATATCACGTGCCAGGCTAGGTCGTCTAGTGGAATCCAAAGAGGAAAGAACGAGTTGGGCGTCTGAGGCGAGGGTGATATGGAGGAGATCATATGGATAAAAAATGACAGCTTCTGAGCAGTCGTGGAACGAGGTTGAAAAGACTGTAGAGAACAGAGTGAAATGGAGGCGTGCTACTGAAGGTGTATGTTCCACTAGGAACCCAAGGGAAAAATAATAATAATAATAGCATAGGGAATATGAATGTGTTCATCGGATAAAATAATGATGGTGTAGATATTTCAACTGTTCAAAGTGAATCCTTTTAATGTAGATGATCAAAATCTTGTAAAACGACCATTTGGTGTTTGACTTGATGATTGAATTTAACTAGACAGTTCTATTGGTTGGTGTTAGGGTAAATTACTCAGCCTTCACTTCTATATCTTCAATTCCATGGATATCACAACTGGTACAGTTTATCATTTTGACAATCTGAAATAGATGTCGTTTGGCAAACTTGTATTGATACTGGGTGGTCATTGAAGGCAGGAGTCGAACTAGCGACCAGCTGACCTACTAAATCCAACTACTGACCAGATTTTTTATTTCATTTCATTCACTATAGGTTTTGTTCAACTGCTATGTGAATTCCTGATGTAGTTACTATCACTTAGTCGTATTCACACTGGCCAGCATCCCAATCCATATCTGAGTTAGAGAGCAGGAGAATCACCCTCGAGAATTTAGAAAATAAGTTCCACCTAGTTGCAACGTTAGTATATGGGACTGTAAATCTTGAGATTATGTACTCAAATATCTATTCAAGGGTTTAAGCTCAAACTTCAGTTTTTTTTCGGTTTTTGTGATGCCAACCAGCTTTGTTGACCAAAGAATTCAAATAATAGATAAGGGAGCTATTTTTTCAGTTAGACTGTTGACTTCAACAGAATTCAATGATTCATTGGTAAAAATAAAACAAAAAAAAGCAAAAACAACACTATGTTAAACTGTGTTGTCACCTAGTGGATAACTCTTTGGCGTTCGGAGCGTTCGTTCCGGGGTTCGATTACTAGTGGGAACAGCGTTGATAACTGAGAGACAGTTATAACCGCCTGATGAGTCCTTGATTCCACTGCTGCCGACTATCTATCATTACAAGATTAAACAACCCAGTTCAGAGCACAATACAACCAAGACCATCCACCTGAGCTACAAATATTCTCCACTATTACAAGATTAAACTGTTTGAAGCGTGTTTGATGATCTTATCAGATGGTATACAGCAGTTTGGATTCGAAGCATATGCTAATCTGATGCTAAACTTATTAATCCTGTGCATAGCAATGAAGTAGCTTCCAGTTATATTTATCTTTTGATGTAACTGTAGTGGACACTTAAAAATATCAAGTCAGTTTTTGAAATTCGATTACTACAACTGTAAAAAGAACATTGGGACGTATAAATCCAAGATTTCCATTGCAAGCGGAAGCCTTGAAATTTCACGCTATATATTCAGAATCAGTGGTAGTGTGCTGGTCGCGGAACCTGTAGGTCCTGGATTCGATCCCCCGCGGGGACTGGGGTGCGCACTGCTGAGGAGTGGCATACTAGAACGAAATCGCTGTCCATTGTTTCCAGGTTTGTGATGATTCCCCAACTAATGAATACCAACCTGAAATCAATAAATAAGTCCATACAAATCACCAAATTAAAACAATCAATTTTCTTGATTCATTAGATATTACGAAGTTTCCTTCATTGGTTCAAATCAACCTTTAATTATTAAGCTACTGACGCTGGTTACAACTAATTTATGAATCCTGGCGCCATAGTTTAACCAGTTTACACTGATGAACAACTTCATGGCGTCATAAAGATCTGAAACAAAGGATTCAGGACTTAAGAAATAATTTTTTCCGTATACTAAGAAATCATCTTTAGTTCTCCTTTATTTGCCTTCACCAGGGGGTTTGTATCGACGTCTGGACTTGATTAGACAGTTACAACTCCTCCTTCCCTCCGAATAGCTTACTCAGTATATGATAAACGCATCATAATCTTCAGTATATGTTAACTGTAGGTTTATTAAAGGATATAAACTTATTGCTTGTTTACTTCATTGAATTAATCTTTTGTCTAATTATTTCATCGTCCTTCTCTCTTTACTTGTTTTTTTTTTCAGACATATTAATGTTGGTAATGCCTATCAGGCTGATATTCCTGAATTTTGTCAAGGTGAGTGGAGTGCAATCAATGTGATCGGGCTTTTGGTTTATTTATTGTTTTATACAGTAACAACATATTTCTTCCAAGTTAATTTCGTCATGTATTGATATCAGTCAGAGAAATGATGATGCTGAAGAATGCTAAATTACGACAAACTACATCAAATAACACGTGTATTGTTGTGTAGTATTCAATACTTTTCCATACAAGAGATTTTTCATCAGAATTGACGACAGCTAGTCATGTCCGGTAGAAATGTCCACTGTCACCGTTTCTCAAGCTCAAGGACTGGTCTGAAACAACTCTTATTTTAAGGATAGGAAGTGAAGTGATAAGATGTGTCGACTACTTCACTTACACTTGCATCATTCTGCTGAACTAGTTGGTTGCTGATGAAATCTCAGCTTGGATAAAGAAGGCCCTTTCGCTATTTGACAACGGCTTCCTTATCGTTCATTGTTTACTAGGCTAGAGACTGGATGAAGGAAGCGGAGGAGTAGTCAGTGTTTGTGAATTACAACTGTCCAGGGCAGCGTTACTTGATGGTGTTTTGAGTTAAATTCATTTCTTATAATCAATCATAACAAGGTTATGAAATCTGTGATCAACAATTTTCTGTTTTTAGCTTTACACTAATCCCATCCAACTTTTATGTCGAAGTCGAACGTAGCTGGTATTAAAATCCTGTCGAAAATTGAAATACACTTCATATGCCTGTTAAAAGTGATTTTTAAGAACAACTGGAAAACTCGAACTGTCCAGTGGTGATGTCTTTGATTGCTACGCTAGGTGATGCGGACTCTAACCCCCTGCAACAGTTGCGTTGAGGCTAAGTTACACCTTGCTGGTGAGAGCTGAAAGCACGAAACTCCGGGTCAACCAGGGTTTCACGCTGATTTCCTTCACTTAACTAACATCAAAGCTTCTCTGTATCTAATTTAAACTAGAATTCATCTAAAATGTGAGTGGTTTGGAAAAAAACAGAAGGTTATCAAAGAAGAATAGAGATGATCAGTCTAATTAAGCATGATTTCATATTTGCCATGCTGTGAAAAATGAGATGAAGACAGTTAGAAATGTATAGTAAGACTTCAGAAGATCCTAATAGATTTAACCACTTTCATCCATGAAAACCTCCCTTAATCGACTAAAACTTAATGTTTGGTTGAAATCATTCAAAACATCAATTGGTTAATGTTGGATTTTTTTGTTTCAAGAAAACTAGTTTTAGAAAGATTACGATTAGTTGTCTACTACAACTGAAAAGGCTTTTTCAATGATAAACTTTTAAAGCAAACAGTTACAATAATGACTGGACAATAATTTCAACTAACCTCCAGCTAGCTGCCATCTAACATTACCTCCGTAAATCTAACTGAAGTCAAAATGATTCTGAAAAATCCAAATTTAAGCGAAATCAATCTTCACAATGAGTCATAGAGTTTCTTTACAAGTCTCTATAGTGAATTTACTCTTTAACAAGAAGATGAAATTGAAAAATTTCCATCTATCATGTGTCAGTTCCTCGAGTGGGACCCATATGGGAAACGACGAGTTGGGCGTCCGAGGCGAGGATGACATGAAGGAGATCATATGAGGAAGAAATAAAAGCTTATTGGAAGTCGTCGAGCCAAGTTGAAAAGACTGCAGAGAATAAAGTGAAACGGCGACATCCTACTGAATCCCTGTTCCACTAGGAATCCAAGGGACAAATAATAATAATATATAATTGCATGAATGAATATTGTCCCATGTTAGCCTAAAGAAAAAAACACTGTAGTAGTTTGCTTTCATCTTAGCAAAGAGATTTAGTGATATATTATTATTTTTTTCCCTTGGGTTCCTAGTCGGACATAGGGATTCAGTAGAACGCCTCCATTTCACTCTGTTCTCTGCAGTCTTTTTTATTCATATGATCTCCTCCATATCACCCTCTCCTCGGACGCCCAACTCGTCATTTCCTCTTTGGATTCCACTAGACGGCCTGGCCTTGCATGTGATGTCCCCAATCAACCTTCTCATTGTATGCCCAATCCATCTCCACTTTCTTCTGCATATTTGTGATAGCTACAAGTAAATCTGTGTATTTCTTGGTGGAGATTTTTCTTCTTTCCTGAGGATGCGTTAAAAAAGGATCATGTTTTATCGAGTGATAGACAATCTACAGAGTATCATGAAACATCTAAGTGAATACTATTTTTAGGATTTATCTTAAAATCGAAATGGACTCAACAACCACATGAATCCTCCTGTAGTAGACTGTTAGTGATATTACCCGGCTTTTGAAACCTTGGTAAATGAAGCGGGATTCGATCCCGTGGCTTACTGGTTGAAAGTCAATCAGCTGAACCAATAGACCACAATTCTTCTGGGACCCATTTAGTTCCTGTTAAGTGGTTGATTATGCTTAGAATTGGTTTTCATCACTTAAAATAAAACTTCAATGATGACAGACATGCGCTAAATTGCACGTTATTCTTAATTGAATGTTGTAATTTCAACAGTCTGTTGGTAACATTTTCTTGCATGGATTCTGCAAAACGTTACACTTGTGTCATTTGCATAATCTAAGTTCTATATTCATTGACTTCCAATGCACAAAGACACCTTAATTTATCTATTCAGCGTAAACCAGTAATGAAGAACTTTATAGATTGGCATCTTGTTGTGTTCTTCTCCAGCGAAACAGCTAACATGAAGAAAAGATGGTCATTGAACACTTCTAGCTCAATGCTGTTGATGTGATGTAATGATATAACTCTGCACCTCTGATTAATCATTACGAGATTCCATTGGAAGCAAGCTGAACCTAAACACTGAAACAACTAGAATCGATCGTTCAAGACGCTATGAGATATAATTGGAAATTGACCACAGTAGTCCAGATACAACGTTCATGCCTAATGTTCATATGAATTACTTTCTTATAAATCTTCATTTCTCTTCCTTCTGTCATATTCATTTTTCTACTCATAAGTATCGATGTCATGGAGTTTATCTCAAGTTGGAAAGTTACATAGAAAAAAAATGCAGCAACACATGCACATGTATACAGTAGGGGAGCAATGGGTCACATCTATTTATAAAGGGTTAGTGATACTACTAAACGTTGATAACGGGAGAGGATATCGAGTGCACTAGACCAATCTACCATAGCTCCATAGTGGCTAGTTACATGGTTGAATCAACTGCTGTGTTGTTTATATCACTTGGTTGAGGCCGGTCATATTCGGCCTTTTGTGTCCGTTTAGGATGGTATTGTTGCATTTGTTTGTGACTATGAACCCTTTTCGCGGTCATTGGCATGCCTCAGAGTGATAGGAAAATGCTATTTTGGGGGCTTATCTTCTCTATCCCCTCTCCTTCCCATAGGGAAGATAGCTTCAGCGTGCCACTGCTGGTTATCCAAGGGGAACACCTTATTGTTGTCACAATCTCGTCCAGCCAGCAGCACGACTTTGCTATCGGAAATCCATCATAGCTTAGCAATTTAAACTATAATAATAACTGCCGAACAGACCTTTCTGGCATGATAGACCCTCGAGGAATCCGGCGTTTCATTGGGATAGCTCGTTGGGTCATTATGATATACAAGCCCGACCAACACGACAAGGTAGCAGCTAATGGGTTGTGAATTTAAAGGCCACCCTAACAATTGCTGAGATAACCAATACCATTTCTTTACTTTACGAATTATCTACCTTCCCAGTCGAGATACCAAAACCTGATTGGTTATTTCAGCAGTTACTAGGGTTGTCTTTAAAGTTGCTCTCATGTAAGCTCAACGATTTCATTGAATCTCATCAGCAGTAAACAATTCAACAGTGATTAGAAATTATGGTAATGATGGATTATGTCTAGCAGTAGAATCCAGGATGAACATTTTGTCTTATTTGGGACTCATCAACTGGATGTACCTGCTTCCCAGTGAGTGTTATTTTCGCTTCAGGGATTCGAACTAAAGACCGATCACTTCAACGAGTCCCAAATAGAATGAAATGCGCACACTGGATTCAACTGCTAGCCGATATCCATCATAACTATATATATTTAAAAACACAAGCAATATCGAGGCCTCCTCACAGGAGCCCATATGCCAATAGGGACTGATCGATTCGGTCCAATTAACGACAGTAGAATACAACAACAATACTAGTGATTAGAAATATTGATCACTAGGCGTCTTCATATTCATCAAGTCAACAATGTTACTTCCTTATTGATTCAAGAAAATGAAACCATGTTTAGTTAAAATTAAATCCATTACACTAGAGAAATGGTTTACTATAATAAGTATAATAACAATAATAGTGGTATTATCCTTCTCATTCAATTCTACACATTTATAGAAACACAGATGAGATTCACATCTCACCAAAGTGTTTTAATATTTTTTTGTATATGCCAGTTAGATTCCTATATATATATATATATATATATATATATATATATATATATATATATATACGAAACGATCATGCGTATAGCGGAACGTCTAAATTACAATTAGATTTACAAATGCTTACGTAAGCGTAAGCCTATTTCTTTCAATAATATCTCTAACACGTGAATATTTGCAAGAACAGATGGCTAGTTATTCAGTGCAAAATAAACCGGATAGATAGATAACTCCAGTTCACCATAATGGACTGGTGATTTATGCTGGTTGTAATAACTGTTCGTTAAGTTTCTAGCATACCGTGAAGATCTACTTGACGGTAGTAAGTTTGAAGGCAGTTATTGCTATCGTAGGGTAAATGACTCACACAATGATAAGGATTTGAAAGTGAAGTTATTCGATTATTAACCGTAAATGGAATGCTATATGAGTAGATAACCAGGATTCTATGGGAAAGGTGGATTAGAAATGTTTGTTGCTAAAAATATCCCATTCATATTCTTATCTTATAGGCTTTCATCGTCAGCTGTTAGAAATTTCTTTGAGTAGAAAATCTCTCAAATGGCTTTATATGACCATCTTTAACAATTTATTGGTTGAGCTATGTGACTATAAACACACTAATAAGGCGTTCCTTAAGCATTCTTTCTTCAGGTATCTCAGGAAACGTAACCTTATATGGTGTAGGCAGTTGGCAAGTACTAACAGCTGTTCTCAAACCTCTGTCAACACTCTCATGTGCTATAAACCTTACCTACCTTCGACTTCCTCTCTTCTTAAGTTCGATTCACATTTTTTGTGAGTAACAACCGTAAGTTATTAGTAACCATTTTCATCTCTGCAGCTCACAATAAGAATTTAATTTCATGGAATATGATGAGTAGTATTCTGGAACAGCACTCAAGAATGCATATCACAGCACTTTCAATATCCATACGCTTAGTCAAATTGAAGTAAAGCTTCGCTTACCAAAATTCTCGTATCTCCATATGCATGAGGAAACTTACTATGGTTATTCACTCATCTGATCTATATGATGAATCTGAAAAGTCCATCCTCTTTGTTACGGGTTAGTTCTCGGCCTGCTGTTACAGTGTCGTAGATGTATGCATAGCGCACTACTCAACTGGATCCTAGTTGAAAGTTGTTTTTACGCTCTTCGACTGAATGGTACAATGATGAGCATAGAAAATGGTCAAAGTCGTTGTTGATTCTTTGTAATCTTTTCTCATATACCCACTGACTGTACTTTGGTTGAAATGAATAGTCTGATCAACCAAAGGATGTCTAACCTCTTGCTGAAAGTTAAACATTTAGATGTAGTTGTCATAGCTGGTGATTTCAATGCACAAGTAGAAGAGTAATCCAAGTAGTTTCAGGTAACAAACTGATGGTAGTAATCGTTCTGTACAACTCAAAGAACCACTTATTTCTAGGCAGTAGGAAATCCAGAGGTAAATATTGACATTTTTCGGACTGGCGGTAAACTATATTACCTCCGTGGATGACGCAGACAGACAATATCCCAATCAATTACTGCTACAAAAGTTGGTAGAAGCTCGTCACTTCTTTTGCTGTTGATGGTTTTACAGTGATTGGTTGGAATGTGCGAGTATCTGTGCCTGAATTGATGTAGTCAAACTTTAACTGGTAAACTGTCACTATTTCTACTCGCTGCTTTAAAACTGATTTCAGTCGAGAACTGATAAGCCACTTAATTCAACAGAGCAAAATCACTCATCGTGTAGAAACCTGCTACTATCTCCAACCTTCTCTTAAAATTACGTCGAATACTTCAAATAACCTACAGAGAAAAGGTTAAAAATTATCAGTAGATCTTCTGAATAAATAAATATGCGCCAATGGATCCCTCTACGTTTTGAACACAATGAGGAACTGGGGCAGTTAAAACATACATAGACTGCCATTAAGTCTACACAACGACTACAAGCAGCAGCGGTAGGCAGATAGTGGTGTTACGCAACTGTAAAGAGTTGCTTAGGCTTAGTAAACAAAAAGATATTTAAATTTAGGCGTTACGTAACACTGTAACATATAGAGATTACTCAGCCATTCATTAGCAAAGGAAACGATTGGAACGGTCACTGAAGAACAGTTCAGTTGACTTCTGCCTATTTTTCAATTGTTTGCTGTATAATCACAGACTAAATGGAGACTTAGCAGAAAATCTGTCACTCTCATAGAAGTTGGGGGAGGCTACAAGGAACTTTAAGCGGTAAATATTCGCAGGTCCTGATCAGTTAGCACTAAATTTATCAACGGAAAGTGGTCAAGGATTATTGACTAGCTGTTAAACTGGATTATGCGAATCAAATACGTTTCCATCTAACGAATCTTAGTCACTCATTTCACCAGTCTTCAAGAAAGGAGGGAAATGCTCCTATGATAACCATCGAGAAATTCAACTGGACCAAAATAGTGTCTGAGATCTTAGGCTTCGTAATTAATTGACATCTAACTATGAAGGTATCATACCTGATCATGCTTGTACTAACCAGATTTTCAGTCTTTCTACAAACGTGGAACACTTCGCGTTAGCTGTATTTCTTGATATCATGGCATTATAAAACTCATTCAGTTGAAGTATTTCATGACTATGTACACTCGGACATCTGCGAAGTCTTGAAATTCTTTGGTAGACCATCATGTGCGTTTTACAAGTGAAGTAACGTCCATCAAAGCTATCCACTCTGTTTTATTTTACTTCATTAAAGACGCGATCTTAGTTTTACTTCAGTTGATTGAAAGTAGCCCCATGTTCAGTGAAAAGACACTGGATATTGTGAGTGATAATTTGAGAATGTTTAATATGCATTTCTCCCCTCCAGAATGCTAATGTTTATTTGACAAATGAGATGCGTTATTGTTGCCTCATCTGAAGGTTGAGAGTGAAAAGATTGAGCTCATTGACCACTTCATCTATCTGGAAAGGTGGATATTTCCCCCAGTGGATCGCTGGTCGATGAGATTTCCAAGTGTGTACTAAGGGTTGAGTGTACTGTTTAGTTTTTCGCTCTGTTCTTCTATGTGTTTGTGAAACACTGTTATTAAAGATAGAGGGAACAAGAAAGATTGAGATGTTTGACCGCCATTTAGTTGAACGATTATATGAGGAATTCAGCGATTAAGCCTAGAGTCTTAGGCGAAAGACGTAAATTATTTGAGCTATTAAACTTTCATTTAGTCAGTTGACTAAGACTCTGGCTGTTGTGCTGAACAACGTAGGAGTCATGGGCTTCTAGGTTGTTGTCTACGAGAAAGCGGTAAGCGATGACTGGAAGCTCTATTTAAATTATCATAATAAACATTCAGGTAATATCGAGGCATCCCCATAGGAGCCCATATGCCAATAGAGGTAGGACAGCTCGATCCAGTAAAACAATGGGAATTACAAGCATATCAACAAGTAGCAATAACCAGTACCCGTTGTACAAGGGGGGGGCGGTTATTGCGTCTCCATGGCCTAGTGCATAACGCCTTGGCGTTTGAAGCGAGGGGTATGAGGTTCAGGTCTCAGTGGGAACAACATCACTCACTGGGGTGCAGGTACATGCAGCTGGCGAGTCCCAAATTGGACGAAACGCACCTACTGGACTTTTGTTCTAGCCACAACCAGAGAAACTATGTAATATGGCTTAGAATCGATCTGCGGCATAGACACATTCACATCATCCCTTATTTATTACGGTTTTATCACACTCCTTCATCTGCTTTATCCTTTATTCTTTTGTCTTGTGAATTTCTACGTCTTTTGATCATGCTACTTCCAATTCTTAGTCTTTCATTTTGCTATTCCGTATCTTGATGTGATGATGTGGGGTTTGGTGACTTGAACCTTCTTATACAATGATACCAATTTATACATTGAGACTGACTGACTAGTTAGTACTTTTCATCAAAAAGGACTTTAACCTTGTCAAGAAGAGGAGCAGATGTAGGTTCAGACCACTATCTAGTGCAAGGAACCTTCCAAATCAAGTTAAAAGCCTTCAAGGAAGCTGGTGATAGACCTCAATTCAAGTACAACACTCGGAAACTGAAGGATGAAACTACAAAGGAGATCTTCAAAGCAGCCATCAAGACAAAATGGGAGACGTCGAGGGACATCCCTGAAGAAACCTGTGTGGAAGAACACTGGAAGTCTTTGAAAGTCTTTGACTAGTTAGTACACAATTAACTAATGCTATGTGTATCGTATTCAATAGTTTCTTCTTTTCATTTAGTTTTACTGAAAATTCTATTTTTCTTGTATTTAATTTTCTCTTCTCCAACCATGGCATTGTCATTTTCATCAACAGCACAAGAGTCAACAACAACAACAACACCGGGGAAACAGGATTCATCAGAATGGGAAACTCTGCTATGGTATCCAGCTAATCTTGACGAAGATGATCCTAAAAATATAGAATCATGTAAGTTTTACTTATTTTTTATGCATGAACTGTAACATTTTTTGATTAGTCCATACAGATATGTTTCCATTGTGTATAAACAGATGGGCAACTTTCGTTTTAGTTCATATCACATTTGTCTTCGTCATCTTGTTTAGTAGTAAAACCGAAGTATCCTGTATGTTGATAGTGGTTGAAGTCATAAGGAGACTGGTATTGTATTAGGATTATCACTAAAGACCCCAAGTTATCGGACTGGTGCTATTCTGACGAAGCTAGAAAATCCCTTACATGTTTATTACCTCCCCCCCCCCTCCTCTTACCTTCTATGTGTAAACTTCCACAATAATTAGCAAGAATATTGACGAATCTCCGTTATAACTAACTCCAACCACCTGGTTAGTGCACAGTCTTCTATCCTGAATCATTTTTTTGATCTGTCGGATAAATTTGATTTCTGCCTTTCGTCACGGTAAGAAGTAACTATGAGACATCAGTCGAAATAGGTCAATGGATAAAGTGATTAGTTATGGTATCAGGTGAAATGCTTTAGTGGTGCAAATTAGAAATCCTGTGAAATCTTTCTACAGACTACACTCAATGGAATTGTATCTTAATCATAAACCGAATGTTGTCAATATGAAACTGTTGATTGATTTGTATACATCTTTATTGAAAGTGGTATACTGGAAGATATTTGTGTATATATTAGAAAATCTATCACGTGAAACTATCCTCTAGTTCATTTGTTGCACATATTTGTTCACCATTGAATGAATAATGTATTTGTACAGTGATTTGCTAGTTTTTATTAACCTTCTTTTCAAGACTTCCTTTATTAGTCTACTACTACTACTGCCTACAATGTTTGCAGAAATTATCACCTCTTTTTTGTATTGTGTTCTCTGAGGAGCTGGGTTGTTTAATCGTGAAGCTTTCATCGTCTTTCTAGACAGCGACATCATCAACACTAACTTCAGTATGAGGTGAGCTATCAATATCTCTCCATAAGTGATTTAGTAGCCTGCTCTGACCAACTGGTTTGTGATTGGTTGTTTCCTTTGATTGTTGTCTCATTGACTGACTGTATAGATTTTCCTGTTGACTCTCCCTTTGATTGACCTCTCATTTTCCAATCGTTTGTCATCTTTCTCATTGGTTGGAAGATTGAGTCTGTGTCTATACATCTATTGATTGTTGACTGACTGACTGAATTGAGCTGAGCTGAGCTGAATGCCAGGCTTCTAGGAATTCTCTGATATTCTTTGTGTTTCCCCTCTCACTCCAACATTTCTATATTATCAAAATTGAATTCACCTCCATGGTTGTTATCCACGTGCATTAAAATGAGTGATGAAATGTCATGTGTGACGTTTAGTAGCCAATTGGTGTTCATGTAAATGACGAAGTCGAAGAGGGCGACCACTTTATCCAATGTAGTCTTGACTACAGTTATTACAGTTGCTTTTGTGAATGATATTCGGTTTGTCTTCTTTGCTTGTTGGATCTTTTGGTCTGCATAATAGTGTTTGGAGGGAACTTGTTGGTTTATGAGCCAAACTAATCTCAAGTGGTCACCTCTCTTGAATTCATTTGGAATTAACTAGAACAATTGTTTGTTTATTTTCGAACAAATTGTTAGTACTACAACGTTCTTGGTATTTCAAGATGATATTTATCACGAATTGACATCAATTAGAGAACCGTTGAAAACTTAGTTGTCACTGGACATCTGTTTCGTCGTAGTACGGGACTGTTCGGTAATGCGCACCCACGACTCCTCCAAAGATTGAGTCCAGGACTGTGAGGTCTCGTGACAAGGAGGTTACTAATGAACCATCGGATGCCAACCTTATGGTCCAAGGACAGAATGCTCTCTGGTTCTCCAACTGATATGTGTTGGTGGTAAGTAAGTATCATCTTGAAGTCAGCCAATCACTATGATCCTCCAAAGTGTGAGATTCGCGATATTTCATTTTCTTTTCTGATGTGGCTCATTATTCACTGAATGAATATGTACCGTGTTTTGTTACTGAGTTCCAACTAACAACAACAACCAGCGATCACCATCAACGGGAGAAATCTAAAGGAAGTTGTCTATTTCACCCACCTACCCAGGCAGCATCGTTTCAACTACAGGCAGCGGTACACATAAGGACGTCAAAGCCAGGATACGAAAAACAACCAGACAGACTTTCCTGCATTAGTTTGAAATCAGTGTGGAGATCTACTGCACTACACTCCAATCAGCATAAAGCGTGAACAACGTCCAGATTTTCAACACTAATGTCAATCAAGTAAGTCACTGCTTCTATATGATGTTTGAGAGACTTGGCGTGTCACGAAAAGCATTTCCAACAAACTACAGACATACATCACATCAACAGCTGCCGCCTATGCTCACTTAATACTGACACTGAAGATGAGATGACTAGAATAATAAGAATAAATAACAAGCAACTCTGGCTGACCCTGCAACGAACCTGCCGACCAAGAACCTATCACTCAACAAATATGCAGAAGAAGAAAGTGGAGATGGATTCGATTGGATTGGGTTAGACATATACTGAGAAGACTGTTTAGGTTGGGGACATCACACGCCAGGTTAGGTCAGGTGCTCGAGTGTTAGGCAAGGGGAAAGGATGAGTTGGGTGTCCGAGGTGAGGTTGACATTGAGGAGATGGTGTGATGAAGAAATGAGAGCTTGTGGGCAGTATTGGAGCCAGGTTGAAGTGACTGTAGAGAAGAGAGTGAAATGGCGACGTGTTACTGAAGCCGTATGTTCCACTAGGAATCCAAGGGACAAATAATAATAGCAATAAAATTTGTTGCTGAGTGCATTTCGACCTCTATTGTTCTTCCAATTAGATACAATACGTTCATTTCTGTAACTTGAGTTCTGTGGATCATTTTGCAGTCGCCGGGTTGGAAGACTCACAATTGAGATGCATTTTGATTGGTGTTAGTTGGATGGAAGCAATCGACAGGAAGCCCTGCTACACGTGGGTTTCGTGCTTTTCGGTACTCGTCTGTAACCTACACGGAATTGTTGTTCCGACGGAGATTCCAACCCACTTTATCCAGTGCTGCAGTCATAGACGTTACCACTGAGCTATTCAGGCTGCAATTGACTTCCTCTATCACCGGAATAGGTACATTGACTGATCATTGGAAAGTAAGCAATTTCGTATTGTCTAGTCCTAAGTGCTGACCGAATTCTATCTATCATTTTGCATTGTGGACACTACGCTAGTTGACTCAACATGGCGATGCCCAATCCAGTCCCGCAGAAAAGCAGTTGCCAGTGGGTGACGCGTGTTCGAATCTCAAGCGAGACATCAGTTCCGTAGATGTTGCAGATACGTCTTACCGAACAGTGCCGAAAAGCATGAAACCCAGGTCTAGCAGAATTTCTTGCCGATTCCCCCCATCCAGCTGACATCTCTGTATCTAGGCTTAGCTAGATCCCTATGTCCTGCTTACCTGACTGACCCTGATTAGCTAGTTTAACCGTGTACTTGGGCTCATAGTCAGTGGAAGATATTCCGAAAGTGAAACTATTTTGTCTAATTGGACTAATAGAATGATTAAAATGACAGATGTCATCCGAATCACAACCTTATTGAGAATCCTACACATGCTTCCTAATGTCTCTTCTTTATGTAGACTACTATAAGGGTCATGGATTCCTTCTTAGTTGTGGTGCAATCGTCGTTCATATCACTCCATTTCCTTTTTTAAGCTTCCTTATATATTTCTGAATACGTTTAGAAGGGTAATCATTAGGAAGTAAAGCTTCTCTTATGTGTTTCATTTGTCCATTTATAAGCCACTTTCTTTTCTTCGTTTAATTTTACAACCTAACATACCTAATCCTGCCTACTCAAGTTTAAACTCGTAAGTAAATTGTTTCCCATCTACGAAGAAATTTCCGCATGTGAAGAGAATATGGATAATGATTTCTTCTTGGAGGCTAGCAGTGGAATCTAAGACGTGCATTTCCTTTATTTAGGACTCCTACACATCAGTGAGTGGTGTTGTTCTCACTAAAGAGACTCGAACACAATACCTATCTCTCCAAACCCTATAGCGTTATCCACTATTTCACACCCTAGATTCCAATTCTAGCCACTAGGCAGAAAAAAGCATAATGAGCAATTAGACAGTATTAAAGCTTTGACATATGAATTAATCTATCAAGAGAGGTCGAGCAATTCGACTGTGCAGCATAATGTTTCATCTACATAGCTTCACCTACGCTTTCACATAGTAGGATTAATTCTTCTGAGAGGCATACTTTCCCGATTATCTATGAGAATATCTCCTAAGACTGAGGGATATTAGTGAGATGTATTGTATTGGTCATCATCTGGACACATAATAAATTACATATTACTGCCGGAAGTATTATATTTGTATTGTAGTGACTTGTGATTCCATTTTAATATGTTTATCAAACGTATATATATATATATATCTGTCATACAATGAAAGTATTATTTATTTATTGGATAGTAATAAACATTTCGGAGAAAATTTATATTATTCATATTCATTTCAAAGAACTTGATATGATGATTAATGGTGATATATATTGTGTTCGCGTAGCACTTTCCATCTGATACATAATAACAACTGGTATTATATATATATATATATATATATATATATATATATATATATATATATATATATATAATCTGATAAACAAAGGGATTACAGTCTACCGCATTGTTGAAGTTTTATTCTTCCATATACATATACATCGGCTTGTGCTTTTTTTCCCCAATTTCTTCAAAACTTCATTCATTCACTTTATGATCTCTATCTCAAACGAATTAGCATCCAATGTATGATTACTACTAATATTATTATTATATAAATCTAGTTGTGCATGAAGAAACTATGATAACCCATTTACTACTTCATATACGCATAGTTAATTCTTTCACTTCTCAAATCGCTATTGTGCGTGGATTGAAAGAAAATAAAGTGATTTTCACATGTAATATATCAGTAGTTTCTATCTTGTATCATTGCTTATTCAATCTCTCTGTGGTCTGATGGAAAAATCCTGTACACTTGAACATGAGCTGATATCGTCTAAAGAGTTAGTAGAAAGTCAGACCTATTATTATTATTATTATTATTATTATTATTATTATTATTATTTTCCCCTTACGTTCCTAGTGGAACATGCGCCTTCAGTAGCACGCCTCCATTTCACTCTGTTCTCTACAGTCTTTTCAACCTCGTTCCACGACTGCTCAGAAGCTGTCATTTTTGATTCATATGATCTCCTCCATATCATCCTCGCCTCAGACGCCCAACTCGTCATTTCCCCTTTGGATTCCACTAGACGGCCTAGCCTGGCACGTGATATCCCCAATCGACCTTCTCAGTGTATGCCAAATACATCTCCACTTTCTTCTTCTGCATATTTGTTGGGTGATAGGTTGTTGGTTGGTTCATTCCCAGACTTCCTTGTTGCTTATTCTTATTATTCTGGCCATCTCATCTTCAGTGTCAGTATTAGGTGGGCGTAGACGGCAGCTGTTGATGTGATGTATGTCTGTAGTTTGTTGGAAATGCTTTTCGTGACACGCCAAGTCTCTCGATTATCACATAGAAGCACTGACTTACTTGATTGACATTAGTGTTGCAAATCCGGATCTTGTTCTTTGTGCTGAGTGTAGTAGATCTCCACACTGATTTCAGATTAATACAGGAAGGCTTGTCTTGTTGTCCTCCCGATCCTGGTTTTGACATCCTCATGTGTACCACTGCCTGTAGTTGAGACGATGCTGTCTAAGTAGGTGTAGGTGAAAGAGACTACTTCCTTCATGTTTCTCCTGTTGATGGTGATTGGTGCCTCTTGTTGTTGTTGTTATTGTTGTTAGTGGTTGGGTATCTTCATCACCTCCGTCTTCTCTACATTCACTTGAAGTCCCGTTTTTGCTGCCACTTCTGTCAACTTCTTAGTTTTCGCCTGTAGTTCTTTGAGTTTGTGCAATAATAGGCATAAATCATTATCAGTGAAATCCAAATATTCTAGGATCTTTTCATCGGTCCAGCCAGCGTATGTCCATTTTCTCGCTCCTCATGGTTTGCTGCATGATCGAGTCGACCACAATCAGGAAGATCATGAGTGATAGTAGGCAGCCTTGTCTTACTCCTGTGTTCACTTCAAAGACAAGTCAGACCTATTGGAGTGTTATTTTTTTCGTACCCTTTGAACACTTCGGTACTGCTCATATATACTACCCTTCCTAATAAAGGAAACTAGGGAATTTAAAATCTCATCGTAAATGTATATTTGTAATGCTTTATTTAGTTTCCTAGTTCAGTTTACCATGTAAACGTCATTGGCCCAGCTCTTCGTTCCCCATTCTTGACTTAGCTGATGATATATCAAACTCTCAGCAACCTTGAATCCACGTTTGTGCATCAGGCAATGAGTTCTGAGGTTGAATGATACTTCTTGGTTTCTCAAACCTTGGTAGGTGGAGTGGTGTTCGAACTCTTAATCGACTATTGCTTGAAAGCCAACTCGCTTAACCAATTCACCAAAAATGCACTCGGGTGGGACTCGAACTAACGGGTCGCACTAGTATTGACATTTGCCCATTTATGCCAATAAAGCATTTCATCATGATGGAAATTGTAATTTATGTTTTTATATTACCTTTATCATATTATTTATTTAGTTATTTTTTGTAAAAACTTTCTTTTCATATCACTACTATTTGTTTCATGTTTTGAAAACAGTAAATCTACTCATGAAAATTGCCTGTTCCCCAGCTGTTCGTAATTGTGGATTGAATATGGAGTATACATTTCATTTATTATGTAAATATAAAGGTGATTTAGAGATGACTTTACACGCTCTACTCCGAGATACATTAGTTGTTTACGATTATGTTTATGCTGGTAAGTTGATTTGCTTACCTGTTAATAATGATAATAATAATAATAATGGCTTTATTCTGAAAGGTATTTCGAGAATACTGTACAGACTTTTCAGCATGTTATACAGCATCAGTTGGACAGAAAAAGTGTATATATGTATACATAATAAAATGAAAAAAGTAGGACTTATGCAAATAAAAGTTGAGAATCTTTGTGCTATTATGTTCTCTGGGTGGCTGGGTTGTTTAATCGTGAAGCTTTCATCGTCTTTCTAGACACTGACATCATCAGGTCTAACTTCAGTATGAAGTGAGCTGTCAATATCTCTCCGTGAGTGATTTAGTAGCTTGCCCTGACCAACTGGTTTGTGATTGGTTGTCATCTAACAAGACGATGAAAGCTTCAGAGCTAAACAACCCAGCTTAATGAATACAATGCAACCAAGACCATCCACCTGAGCTATAAATATTGTTCACCATTTCAAACGACGAGAATATTTACTCCATCTGCAACTTCCTTGGAAGTGCAGAGTTAACAATCACATTAGCAATTAGATTTATAATACTTAGATAACAGCAAGGAATATAGTCTCCGATTAGTTTCCTTTCAGAAGCAAAGATTGATTAAATTTTTGAGGGGGTTGTGGAGATTTGGAAATATTTCAAGTTGTTATTCATCGAAGACTGACATCAGTTGGAGGAACAAAGGAAACCTGGGAGCACTGGACAGCTGTTTCGTCCTAGTATGGGACTCCTGAGCAGTGCGCACCCACGACCCCACCAGCAGGGATCGAGCCCGCGACCTTCAGGTTCCTGCTGACCATCTCATCTTCAGTGTCAGTATTAAGTGAGCGTAGGCGGCAGCTGTTGATGTGATGTATGTCTGTAGTTTGTTGGAAATGCTTTTCGTGACGCACCAAGTCTTTCAACCATCATATAGAAGCACTGACTTACTTGACTGACATTAGTGTTGAAAATCTGGACGTTGTTCACGCTTTATGCTGATTAGAGTGTAGTGCAGTAGATCTCCACACTGATTTCAAACTAATGCGGGAAGGCCTGTCTGGTTGTTTTTCGTATCCTGGCTTTGACGTCCTTATGTGTACCGCTGCCTGTAGTTGAAACAGTGTTGCCTAGATAGGTGAAAGAGACATTTTCAGACCTGAGCCGGAGTGAATTGATCACAGCCCACCAGTATATAACGATTTCCACTTAAATAATGCTGTGTCACTGTGTGGTATATTAAATAGATTTATGTAATGTGCAATTACACTGTACCACTATTCCCAATCTCTGTGCTTAAAATGCAGCTCGACATGTTTCCATGTTTTATGTCGAGAGTCAGTCAGTAGGATTTATACTTGTTGGCGTTCATAAGCATGAAGTGTCTGCAGTCTTCAAGAAATACATGCTCCCCTAAGAGATTGAAATCTATTTTGCCTATTGCCGAAGTTATTGGCTGTGTCACTAAGTTACTCGTGTTGAAGCCGCATTCTTGTAGGACTAATTCTATGCAAACGAATTGGTTACTTGATCGTAGCCGGTTTGGCTGTCCAGCATCAAATCCTTCTCGAAACGTATCATTCTGTTGTTCAGTACATTCGTTATACTAAACGACACAGCAATACTGAGTATTGCGCTCAGTGTTACATGTTTGGAACTTATCAATAGATAAATTTGGATCTGAGTTCTATTCTTGTTGGCATTCATCATCATTATCATCATCAAGGTATGTTGACAACCTTCAGGAGATGTATATTTTGTTGACAATTCAAACCTGTGTCACTTCAAACAGCACATAGTAGTAGTATCAAGTTGGCTTAATGCTCATAGTGTCTATTTAGAAGTTGATGTCCATGTTTTCTACCACTTCTGGTTCAATTTTTATACATAGTTTAATCCTACAAGTAGTTAAACGTGATCTGGTGAACTCATTGGTAAAGCTTTCAAATGGAACAGGTTACAACTTCTAACAGAACATTAGTTCAGTAGAATTTGATATTAATGCTAGATGGAATCCAGGATGTGAATTTCGTCCTACTTTTGGACTCGTTAGCCAATTCAATCAGTGACAGAGATACACAAACTATAACATCAATGACTAAAAGCTTTGACTCAGTAGTTTCAATTACCACAATTATCATTATTATTATTATTTGTCCCTTAGGTTCCTAGTGGAACATAGGGCTTCAGTAGCACCTCTCCATTCCACTCTGTTCTCTGCAATCTTTTGAACCTGGTTTCACGATTACCCAGAAGCTCTCATTTCTTCTTCACATGATCTCCTCCATGTCATCCTTGCCTTGGACGCCTAACTCGCTGTTTCCCATCTGAGTTCCACTCGAGTGCTTGACGTTCAATTATCACACGATGTTAGCTATTCAGAAGTTTCTGATAAATTGTCTTGGAAACATGATGTATCATGACAGAATTCGATGCAACCAACAAAAGAACTATACCAAATAACTAGCAAGATCCCATAGCTCAATATGACTATAATAAAATATATTGAAAAATATTCAACATACAAATCATAATTACTTTTTATTATCTTTTATCTGTTGACGTGTATATCCATGTTTACAGAAACAACTGCATGGACAACTGAAGAAATTGTTCGCTTTCAACAAGGATTAGCAATGCATGGAAGAGATTTTCATCAGGTAGCTAAATACTTACAAGCTGCTGGAATGAATAAAACTGTTAAAGCCTGTGTAGAATTCTATTATGTTTGGAAACGAATGAATACACCATCAGATGTTAAATGGTACGTTGATATTGATGATAATGATAAAGTTGTGTGTTTGCTCCCTTAGTTCTCGATGCGCATTAATTCGACCTTTTTAGCTGTTTCCTATTCAGTTTTATCGGGTGTTTATCATTTGACTGTGTTCCTAGACCATTCTTGTTAAATAAGCTTCCCAAAGTGGTTGTATTCTTATTTTTCTCACAGGAAACAGTATACTGTCTATGAAGGGAAGCTCTCCGCTTCATTGCTTGCTGAAGCTGGTGTACCTGAAGGTACTGTACTTTCACCGTTTCTGTTCTCGTTCTTCTCACATAATTTACCTTATTCTGTTAAAACTAATTTTATTAAGTATGCTGATGAACTGACGGTGTCTATTCCAGTTAACTCTCACTTCGATCGCTGTGAATTGGATGGATTCTTTTCTGTAATCAACCAATGATCTCATGTCAAACTGTTAATTTTAGCCTCAGGCGTAAACAAGACTTGTGTGAGCTGCTTAAGTTCCATGATGCCTGTTGCATTGATGGTATTTCTGCAGAAAGTAAATCGAGTGTTAAGTATCTTGGAGTGAGTTTTACTTCTGATCTCTGTTGATCGTCTTATATCTTAATGACTTCCCAAAAAATCTTTCGTTTAACGTATTACAGAAAGAAACTGCATGTTACCTATTCTTCTTTATTGTTCCTCGTTGATCTTTCCTAGTCTACTAAAAAAGGTCTATGTTATGTTGCGTAGGGCTTTGAAATCCGTCAGTGGGGTGAATGGTGGGCTTGTGACCCAACTGATTAACACTGTAGTTGATAGACATTTATACTCTAGCAGGCAACTAGCTACAGTCATTTTAACTGACATTGAGCATCCATTTCATTCACAGCTCCCTCTCTCTACTTGTATCTCCTCAGTGAGGACGAGAAGAAACTACATAAGATGACTGTACACTCATACAGCCAATTACAAGAGTGCGATTATACCCTACTTAGCATACATATTATGTGGGGAAAAAGGGGTGTTAGAACAAAACTCACATAAACTTAGTAATAGCTAACAATCTCATTTCAGTAATTTAATTAACAATGCATGTTCTCGTTTTTCTAATAACACAATTCGTAATATTGTAAAGGAGTATATACATACACATATATGATGTTGTTACCGCTAATTGTTTGGGATAATGTGAATTATTATTATTATTATTTTAAAAAATGTACATGAGGTTGTTTTTGACACTTGCATGAAAAGACAATCCCTTGTCCTTACATTGCAGTGTTTCATATCCATTGTTATCTCCTGGTTCCTTTAAACGCTCTACTTCATCCACTGTTAAGATTCCTTATATGATTGTTTTATGGGTTTCTATATGATGTTTCCTGAGTATTTAGATAAATTTTTTCAATTGTTTCCATATCCACGCTGTTGTCTTAGAACATTAGAGTTGATGGTTTACACCTGATTTCTACATTGAAACCATAATAAATATGAGTACCGGATGGAAATTGAGAAGAAGCAGAGTAAAGTGATGTTCATTTCTTGAGCTTACTCTTCTAACTAGGAACAGAACTACTAACACTCATATATACTGAGCACAATTTGTTGTGTGTACTCATTATTTGAGTATTTTAAGTAGTATGTTTATTAAAGTCCACTTTACACAAGTATATATACATATATAGGAGTCAGAGGATACTAAGTCCATCACTCAGTACCAGTATGAAACCAAGTGATACTGCGTAACACTCCAAACTGTTATATATTACATCCATTACAAACAGAGTCATTAAAAGTTATAGAAAGCCATCAGAAGAGAGGAAGAAGTGGTAAAAAAAGGTGGCAAATTGTGATATGATGATTTGGATGAAGATAACGTTTGTATGCATCCACACTAATGAGATCACTTCTGTGTCAATATCATCTAGAATCTCGAAAGACCAACAGTTATACCATGTCTTCCTGTCAAAACCATAAGGGGAATTAATGCGACTGATACCTTATCCAAGATCCTGGGATCCATAGTTATCCGACGCCTAACTGAACATCGAGAAAACTAGTCAGGTTTCAGACAGAGCTGAATGAGAGTGCATCGAACAGATATTCACCTTCCAACAGGCTCTAGGACACAAGCATACCTACTAGTCAATAGCCAACACTTACCATATTTCTTGACCTGAAGGTGGCACTTGACTCAGTCGTCTGTGAGCTGTTGTAACATGATCCGTCTGTGAAGAGAGTACCGAGCAAGTGTGTAGTGCTAACGAAAGCTGTGTACTCGAACTTACGCAACTGTGTAAGAGCCTATAGAGAGTTATCATGTGAATTGACGATAAATAGCGGTGTCCGCCAGGAATGCCACTGTCACCGTTCATTTCTTACTGATTAGCATGACTTCAGAGAGATTGATCTACTCTCTAGATCATTTGGTTGACTTGATGTATACAGACGATATTGTCCTGCCAGATGAAGATGCTAACAAAATGCAGGGTCTTTTGAACCCGTTTGTCAGAAATTTAAATATCTTTAGCATGTATTTCGCAATTGTCAGATGTAAGATGATGCCTCAGGACTGGTCTGCGACCATTCCTAGTTCAAGGGTGAAGAGTAAGGTGGTTGAATGCGTCGACCACTTCACTTACTTGGAGAGTTGCATCAGCCCGAAATGGGATAGTTGCTGGTGAAATCCCGGTTCGGTTACAGAAGACATCTGTGGTGCCGACTGGTAAGATTTCCGAGAATTAATTAAATGACGATTATGCTGCGCCACTGCAGTTATGGCTGTGAGGGGGGTGTTAAAGGTAAAAGATATGCAGTGGTGGCACGTCTTTCACCACAGATTTTTGTAGCATTGCTCACATATGGTGGGATCATCATATTAGCAATATTGAAGTCAGGCGAAATGTTATAAGCAAGGAAGGCAGGTTTGTCGATGAAGTTGTGAACCTTCATCGATCGAGATGGTTTGGATATGTGTTTCGCATACCGATCGACCACTTACTTCGATGTACCATGCTAGCGGAAGTTGGATTAGGTTGGAAGGAGGTTCAGAGTGGCTTGATGGCTGCTGTGAGTAAGCTGGAGTACCCAGGATGCTAAGAACCAGCGATTGAGGACTCGGTGGCATGGGGGGAAATCAGTTACAGTGGCGCATATTTACTCACTCTTTGACGTCTTCTAAGCTGAGACTTTCAGTTACGTCACCTGTATTGAGAGAAAGGAATTTTCACTTCTTCATATCATATACTTTTTTCCGTAATTCGGGCTGGAATGATCACCGTCTGAGCATGACTCAAAATGGTGATAGCCGTTCAGATGGAAGAATGATAGGATTTAGATATCTGTGATAGCCTACCATCATAAATTCCTGTATCATTCACCTTATTAACACCCTGAAACCACATATACCCTATTCGTTTAGAATCAGGATTTGTCAGCTGTCCTATACATAGGTATTTCATAGCTCAGTTGGTAAATTACCGAGCTGAAAACACTCAGTCGTCACTGGTTAAAATTTTCACTTCACCTTCAATCATCACCCAGTATCAATATTTCAGGTCAATCATTACAATGATACATCCTGTCAGATTCGCTTTTAGGAAAACCTATTTGTTCATTTGAAGTTGTATTACAGGATTTATAATATGTGATACACGAACGACTATGTTAACCATAGTCTCCGAAGCCGAATTACCGTAAAATCCTAGAAATACGCCTTGTTTTGATGATAAATAAATACTAATGTTGTTAGAATTCACTTACTGTAAAGGAAGTCCTCATGAAGGATTATGATGTTATTTTGTAGAGAAGGTATATAGAAACCACTGAGTATTGGATTGCACTTTCATCTTGAATTATGTCTCGAGTGTTGTCTTACAGAAGCTCACCATTCAACCAATTGACCATCATTTCTCTGCATGTCACACATTCCCATAAAGAGCATCATGAAATCCTGAAGTTCTAATATGCAAAGGTGTGACCCATAAAGGTCAACTATGTTGTGCTAGTAAGACGCAATATTTCATCAACCTCATACATTACTTGATGATCACTCTCTACTGTGAACTGATTAAAGGGATGGCTAATAAGGATTATTGACTTCCATCCCAGAGATTACTTTATCCCATGCTCATCGTATGAATCTTGTACAGTATCGAGAGTGGGCAGTGTTAAAAGAGTCGCAAAGCAAGATGATCACACCAAACCCCAAAGTGTTATTTACTAGGCCACCGGGGTACGACAACTACCTCTAGTCTAACGGATATCAAGTGTTATAATCTCCCGTCGCTGGATCCTATACGGAGACCTCGGTACCGATCGATTAACTCATTCTATGTTGTTGTCTGCTTGGTGGTTAACAGCGAAAGTCGCGACTCAGGTTTCATCATATTTCGATGAGCCTCAAATAGTAACGTCAGAGTCAATTAAATGGCAAAATCATTTTCATATATTTATATGAATCAATTGGATGATAAATTATCACATTACACAGTCATTATAGAATTAAATCGCCTCCATTATTACTATTATTATTATTATTATTATTATTATTATTATTATTATCCATGTTTCTTCGCTATAAGGATAGAATGGAGTCATTTCTTCGCTCTGATTTATAACCTTAAATTAAGCAATAATTAACAATTTGCATACTTAATCATAACTTCTTTTTTTTTGCTCTAGTAGATGACACTTGTGTCTGTGTCTGTGTGTGTTTTCGCGCGCTTCAACCAGCAATCTGTGTATTTGTACATTAGATTCAGCTATGCATATGCCTGCCTGCATAATATAGGCATGTATGTGTATGATTATGTAATCAAGTTATCTAGATGATACACAGTTTTACTATTGTGTATGTATTAGCCAGTATTCACTGACAATGTAGAGATTTTTTTAACAGAAAAAAACACATTACATTATCTGTTATTATAAGCAGTGAATTACATTCACGTTTTTTTCTTCTCTAATGCGTACTATTAACATATGCGTGTCTGACTACATACAAGTGATGTGAACAATGGTTGGTATAGTTG